CCTATATGTCTGTTTCAGTGTCCTGTCCTCTAATATGTTGACAACATTTCTTTCTGATTACGCCTTGGACTTTGGTCATCCTCATGCACTAAATAGTTTAATCATTTTTTATCACCGTTAACTATATATGTTTAATAAATTAGTGTAAATGCTAACCTTGTTCTTGTTCCTGGCTTGTTGCGTACTCTTTTGACAAACACATGAGAACGATCCCATTGCTAAAATTGTTATATTCATCGTCTTTCTCCGTCCTCTCATTTCTGCAAGTGACATCAGCTTTGATGCTATGTAAGCTCTTCAGGAACCTTTTGATATTCCCCTCGTCACGGGAGTGATAACATAGCAGTATCTTCCTCTTCTCTGCTTTCCTACATACTAAAACACCAAAATTAGTTTAAGGAAATTGGCCTAATTGCATTGTATTCTAAAGAAAGAACACGGAGCAATAAATTAAGTAAAATTCGTTGTTTTTGAATACATCCTTATAGAAACAAGTGAAGCTTACATAGAAATGTCAACCATTTGAGGATAACATCTTGCATTTCTGTCGAGTGTCCTTTAGAATTGTTGAGCTCCATCATCAAATCATAGCATAAGAGCTATACTTCAAAGCATCTGAAATTAATCAAGATATTACTGCATAAATACACTTATATCTGAGTGTTCTAAACACCTAAGTCAACGGCAACAGCACATACTATGAAACGTTTTAGTCTACGGGATGGTAAATTTACAGCATATTAGCAATAGATACCAAATACATATTTAATTTTTGTACACATTTATTAAATGGTTTTGGGGTACTAGTATTCACAAAAATGTGAAAATTAACATTATTTCCATTTATATGTAGACTTGATATATCCCAGTGAACTTGAAATAAAAGACACCTTACTCTGCCAGATCTGTTTCAAATTTGGAGGTATTACTGACTAAAGACGATAAGGGTCATCTAAAATCTAAACTGAAGGGGAAACAAGAAGATTACAGGAAAAGATCAAATTGTCAGTCAACAGGTATTTCAGTTGTCTTATTTTTCTCCTTTTTTTTCTTGTAAAAAACATCACTGTCTATGTTTGTTCAGCATTTATTAATCTTTGAATTTAAAAGAGGTTCTAATAATTCTTTTTGTTTTGCTTTTAACATAGTACCATAAACATACGACCCTTTCAAAATATTTTTTTCGGGATTCATTTTTATCTTCAATTAAGTGTAAACAATGTATTTGAAATTTGATTTGTACATCTTTTATTTCATTACCAGATCCAACCCACAACCTTTTAGTCCAATTAAAACTCTTAGTATATCATTTTTATGCGGTAAGAAAAATGGTCCCCTGATCACAAAGGGGAAGTCAAAGTGGGTCAGTATTTTCCCTCCATATTTAAAATCTTTATAATTTTCGTAAACGCTCTTTTTTAAGCACACCTCGCCACTCTCTTTTTTGTTTTTGTTTTAAAAGTCTTATAGTACTTCGACTACATAGTTTATTAAAAACAGTACTCGTATTCTCTGCCATCCATGGCAGTTACGCATACATGTATGTAGCGGTAACAAGTCGTATTCGTCAACTGTACTGAAAAAATGTATTAGTTATGAGCACCCGGAATTAAGATGAAAAGTATCGAATTTTTGATACAAAACAATAATGTTGAATCTGAATCAATTTCTTTTGTTCTTTTTAAAATATATATATATATATTGAAAATATTTCTATTCGTTCCATTTATATGCATAAATGTTTGACAATTCAATAAGAGGAACAAAAATCAGTTCTGAAGCACCCACGGACATGTGTAGATTTGTAACACAATTGGAACATACCTTACATATAAACAAACTATATATTAACTTTTAATGTATGTTGTGTTTCGTGTATTTGATCAATAATTAAGGACATATGTGTACAAGGCATAATAATCCTTATATGTCCTTGAGAGCCATTTAGGTTCTTATGCACTCTATATCTATTTATTACTAATTATGTGTTTGATGTAGTCAATATTGGTGTAAATATTAATGTGAAATATTATGGGTCAGGATGAAATATCATAATTGAACGAAGTGGTCAGTATCCCTTATTGATATCTAAGTAATTTAACGTATTGGGAAATGACTTGATAACAATTACTGACCACAGTCAATATTGTAATTGAACGCTTGATTAAAAATCTGCAAGTAAATCAAACGAAGCAATTTCATTAATAACTTAGAAACTTTCCAATAATTAATAACAGGATCTGACGATTGAAAATTTAATATATATTCTGAGATTGGACAGACGGAGGACAGAGAGAGAACAAGAAATTAAGACAAACGTTTCAGACGTACCACTATACGAACTTTGTGCCCCCTGTTCTAGTTTAGCTTCCAGTGGATATACTAGTTCTAACACTAACTCTATAATATATGAACTGTAACTGTGCTGACAACATTGTTTAACTATATATGCATGACGTCTATATTGTGCAACAGTGACATAATAAATGTATATATAACCAAATAAAAAGCACTGTGTTATAGATACATATCCCAAATGTATTTGTATTGTACAACCGACTCATTAATTGAATTAGAATAAATTCAAATAAATCAATACATGTTTGTTTTGTATATTGTTCGGTATAAAGTAATAAAAGATTAGGGGCTAGTTAAACAGGCTAATTTACAGAATTTGATTTTCAATTTCAGAATTTTAAAAAATAAGACCGAGTTAAATGTATTAATCCCTTCTTCATGTTTATTTCTACATACACGAATCAACTTATATCTATCATTTTCGATAAATATAATATATAGAATTATATACTCTCTAGCTAATTTTTCGATCTATTCACTTATCCCCCACATTACATTTAGATAGACAATTCTTCGATTTTGCGAGACCTATATTTCTGTATGCATCAGTGTATCAGAAAGAAAATCGTCGTTTAGTGTAGGCATTTTTAATCAATTGAATACTTCGCTATGGTACGATATTTTGAATACCAACACCTTTCTGCCATTGCTGTATGGAAATATCTAAAAGGCAATTTATATTATTTCTGATGTATGACAAAATCTATATCATGCTACTACAAGAATTACCTGTGTGTCACGCTGGAATCCGCCATATTGTTTACCTGAGAGATCGTTCATACCGTCACGCTCCATTAATAATGGAACCTAATTATTACAGTACTTGTTTTATGGATGGCTGCCTTCTGAATCGGATTTAAACAGTATACAACGGGTAACGCGGGGGAGTCGCTATAAAAGTATCAGTATGGGCATTTTAAAATAAGCACCGAGCTCAGAAAATGATACCCCCTCCCCGCCTCCAATATGATCGTAATGTCAAAGTCAATGATTTGCCGAGGTAGACCCGAAATAAGTGTCAAATCAAAAAGTACAATTAAGAGGTGCACAATAGCATTATGAAATATAGAATCTGAAATTATCATTTATTTTATTCAGTGATATAGGAGGAGTTGCGGATAAGATATAAGTCAACTTCAATATTATAGAAAAAATGGTAGTGCCCAGGTTTTATAATGGGAAACCACAAATATGTGTCTGGTCAAAAAGTAAAACAGGAGGTGCACAATTGCACCATGCACCGGTAACAAAGAATCTATGAAAGTCTCATCAATTTTCATTCAGTGGTATATGAGGAGTTGCGGATAAGAGGAGGGTTACCCAAAGCGTAACAGACGGACGGACCTCTCGATCACTATATACCCTCTCACTTTTCAAAAAAAGGTGGGGTATGAAAAATCATCAAATTAAGTCAAGAAAGCAAACGACAAAAGAAAAGTCATCTGTGGTAAACTAATTATCGATTTATAAATATCTGCCAGTAAATGAAAAGGTATTGGTAGAGTAAATAAAACATAAAAGCAACCCTATCATAAATTTGATTTTATTTTTCGACTCCCCCATGCGTTGTGTTTTCCCAGAAACAACTCCCCCTGCAATACTATCACCGTAGATAACTGTCTGAAGAAAAAATGTCTGAATTATTAATTTTTATAAAATCTACTTAAGTTTTAATATTTACCTTTTTAAAGATAAACGTTTGCTTTTGCTGTTTTAACTGTCAGCATCCTTATGCAATCCTTGTGCAAATCATGCATGTTTTGACCACTCGATCAATGTTAATATGAAATCTGTCGAATACTAGTACTTCAGAAGTTTTGGGGGATACTAGGCGTCGTACATGTGTATGATAGCCGGACAAATGACCAAGACAAAGCAAAACTATTGCTGTCTTCCGTGGGATGTTTTTTGTAAAAACATTTTACAAATACCGAAAAAAGACGTGACCTACATCCCTCCTGACTCCGAAGTGGTAAAAATCTACTCCCCCATACGCTGAAAACGCCTCCTCCATACTTTTTACCGACTTCCCGCGTTATCCGTTGTATACGGTGGAAATGGGATGTACTTGTAAATGAATATACGAGGGCCGTTCATTACGCGGACTTGTTGTAGAAAAAATATTTGACGACATAATCAGGCGAAATGTCACACATGATATAAAAGAATCTTTACTTATGCGGTATACAAAATTTCATATCAAAATATTGTAAATTGGTATCAATTTTGCGTGATTTTTCAGGACATATCATTGAGTCAAGGAGCAGCAAAATCTTCGACGTCACAAGCATTATGAAAAAGATATGTGATTGAGCTTTCATTTTTCTCGACATTTTTCCAAGAGTACCTGTACAGTTTGAGTTACCTTATCTACTCAACATCCAAACACCATTTCTTGTCAAGCTTAAAATCTATTAAACAGGTAAAAAAAAATTTAAACCAAAAACTGCAGGTATTTATGAGATATAGTGTGATATTGGTGACTCTCAATCACGTTCTTTACAGTTCGGATCAAGTTTTCGTCGATAATTTTCTTCCCGTCCTCCCGTATAGCATTTTACATAGGTCTAACGGTCTAAAATTTCAATTAGCTATTTGTGGACGAATGTCGGTTAACCCTAGTTTACTACATGTTTTATTATGCATATTTTGGATCTATGTTGGCGATATCTCGAGTATTACACACAATTTAACGAAAAAGTGTTCTGCCGTCAATTCAGGAGACGTCATTTTCAGGAGACGTCGTTTTCACTGGAATCGCATCAGAGAAAAATCACTATATTTCTCTAAGTACTTCAAATATCACGTCAGAAATCTAAATACATAATATTAGGACAATTTAAAGATAAATTTGAGAAAATTGTCGAAAAATATCACGAATTATGGAATATTAATGAGATTTTGGATTCCACATGTTTTTGCTTCAAATTTTTTGTCGTGCTCCGTACCTCTCCATCAGCGATATCAACATACCGATAATTTTAGTAGAATTTTTTTAAAATACAGAAATTTTGCCCAGTTTTTATTGGAATCTTTAAGATACATATCTCTGTGAAATTTCATAACTATATGACGTCTGTAAGAGTAAATAATAGCACAGTCCGCGTAATTTTTGAACGGCCCTCGTAGATAGTAAGCGTTAATTTTGCAAGGCACCTCTCTACCAATTAAATGTTTACCAAGTCGGTGGAAATGGAATTTCGGAGATGAATACTTTAAAATGTCGGAAATGAAAAGTTGAAAGTTTAAAAAATAGCGAAAATGAAATTTAGCCGCGTGAACAATGTAAAAGCATTTTGTAATTTGGAAATATCATTTTAAAAAATCGCGCTAAGAAATGATTCTTGAAAAGCGGGAAGGTATGTATACATGTAGTGATCTACTCCAGCATGTAAGAGGTTCACGGAGAGATACTTCTGACTTGGCGCCGCGTATATAAGGAGGTATATAAGGAGCATAGGGAGGCTCTTACTTGTAGGAGTATATGTAATTTGGAAACATCATTTTAAAAAATCGCGCTAAGAAATGATTCTTGAAAAGCGGGAAGGTATATAAATGTACATGTAGTGATCGGGATATCCGTACGTCCGTCTGGTACGCTGTGGGGTACCCATCTCTTATCAGCAATTCCTCTTTTACCACGGAATGAGATTTAATGACACTTTCACAGAATCTTTGTTATAAAGTGCCTTTATGCACCTCGTATTTTACTTTTTGATCAGACACATATTTTGAGTTTTTCAGATCAAAACATGAGCACGGCCATTTTTTCTATAATTTTGAAGGGTACCCATCTCTTATCCGCAACTCCTCCTATACGACTGAATAAAATTTTTAAAAAGGCACTTTCATAGATTTTTACTACCTAATGCCACTGTGCATTTCCTATTTTACTTTTCGATCTGACACTTATTTCGGGTCTACCAGTGCAAACCATGCCATTATAACCATATGGGAGGCAGGGGTATCATTTAGTGAGCTTATTGCTCACAGTACCTCTAGTTTAAACATAAAATGTTCTGTCTTTTGCTTTGCTAATTTGTTTATTCTTGATATGACTATAACATGTACTACTATTTTCCATTAATCTAAAGGGTGTTAAGAAAGTTCATTCCACTTTTTTCTTTATTTTTGCAAAAAAATACGATGAGAAGATATTTACAAATTGTGATATTTCATGTTTACAGAGTCAATTATCGCTACTGATAAGGTTTTAACTGTCTTTTGTTGAAAGTAAAAGGGGAGGGGAGATATTAAAACAGATGATATCTAAGGAGCAAAGTTAGGAATGAAGCGTACTCGTGATATATTTTAAGGACACAGTCAAAAAAGCAATAATTATATATAAACATATGTATGAGCCGTATGTAAGGGGTGTTAAGAAAGTTCGTACAATGATAAAATATTTTCAAAAATTTCAAAGTAATGCTTAAACTAAAGAGACGAATGTTTAAGCATTACTAACCATAAGAGTGTGCTTTAGATTTAATATTTCTATAATTTTGAAGGGTACCCATCTCTTATCCGCAACTCCTCCTATACGACTGAATAAAAATTTTAAAAAGATACTTTCATAGATTTTATTACCTAATGCCACTGTGCATATCCTATTTTACTTTTCGATCTGACACTTATTTCGGGTCTCATAGTGCAAACCATGCCATTATGACCATATGGGAGGCGGGGGTATCATTTCGTGAGGTTAAAGCACACTCTTGTGATTTTGTCAGATTTGAAAATTCATCTCTTTAGTTAAGCATTACTTTGAAATTTTTGGAAGTATTTCATCATGGTACGAACTTCCTTAACACCCCTTACATTCATGTACATGTGTCATTCTCCAAATAATCTCAGTATAAATACTTTAAGGTTAGATAAAACGTTCCTCGAAAATATATGATTATCTCCAAAAATTGTTCATTGAAGTATTGCTATTTAAAGAAAATTCCTAACCAAAAATTGAGGTACCTTACTAGGCAAGATACCAGAAGGGGATATTTTTATGTAATCCCTAAAATTTTGATATGCAAACGCAATAATTTTTGGTGTTCTTGTTTTTTTAAAAACATATTTGAGAACAATTTAGAAAAAAAATCAATAGAGTATGACAATTTATGAATATTTTTTTTTACACATCAAGTTATACAAAACATATACTTGCGCAACGTGTCGTCGGACCTTAACATGGGTTTATTTATATGTACTGATAAATTATTATACATCCGCTTGAAAAGCGGGAGGGTATATAGTGATCGGGATGTCCGTCCGTATGTCCGTCTGTTACGCTTTGGGGTACCCATATCTTATCCACAACACCTCATACACCACTCATATACCACTGAATGAAATTTGATGAGACTTTCACAAAATCTTTGTTATATAGTTTTATTGTGCACCTGTTATTTTACTTTTTGATCGGACACATATACTGGGTTTTCTACAGCAAAACATAAGCACGGCCATTTTTTCTGTAATATTGAAGGGTACCCCCTCTTATCCGCAAGTCCTTCTAGATCACTGAATAAAAATGAATTATACTTTCATTATAGATTCTTTATTACATATTTGCCATTGTGCACCTCTTATTTTACTTTCCGATCTGACACTTATTTCGGGTCCCCCAGTGCAAAACATGGACTTTGCCTTCATAACTACAGTGTATATGGGAGGCGGGGGTATCATTTAGTGAGCTTAACACTCACAGTACCTATAGTCTTTTATAAAGTTATTCAAGTACCTTACATTGGCACCAAAAATGGCCAAGTTTCGGAGATTCATCATTGTTTGGTCAAAACAAAGAAACAGATGTATGAGTCTTCAAGCATTGCTCACACAAATCACGTATAATTCAAAAGGACATTTCATTTACAGAAACTAATGAACAAATGTATTTAATTCCAGTAATTTTATTACATAAAATCATTTTAGAGATTCTGAAATCTGTGACATCAGCTGTGTTTCTGTAAAGCTTTGCAATCTGTAACATTAAAAGAGTTTCTGGGTTATATTCATGCATTTGTTTTACATATCAATTTCAAATAGTTCCTGAGTTGTAAACGATTTAAAACTTTATGATATTTCATTTACCTTTTATAAACTCAACAAAGTATTGAGGGATATCCTGTCAAATGACCTTTATCTGGCCTCTTTTTATTTAATTTGTATAAACTCACTCTTCCTATATATTGTTTACTTATACATTGCTTGCAAATTGGTTTCACTGATGTACGTATTTTTCTTATCTATTTTGGCATATTTGGGATATTTTGTTTTCCATTTATTGTACATTATCTAGTCATATGTCCAGATGAGTCCAATTTTTACCTGTTTATTCTCATTGTGAGTTGTTCGCTGACGATGTTGGAGATGTCTTGTACAGTTATCTGCTTTTGGGCATCACTTTCTTCTGTTTTCTTTTTCATAAATAAGTAAACACACTCTCTCTCCAGACAGTTTATCGTTTCAATCTCGTTCAGATCCTTTCCTGATACAACTAAAAAAATAAGATATTGTCAAAACTCACCATTGTTCTCAATTCCCCCTTTTCATGTATGATAGATGTTCTGCTGCGTAGTTTATTAATTTGATATCTCTTTATATAAGATAACATTGGAATATATTTCCAAGAATAAAGGTATGTTACATAGTACTGATAAAAAAGATTTACACTGACTCTAACTATATATAATAATTGTTTTACACGTGTTCTACCTTTTTCTGTATTGCTAACCACAGTGCATCTTCTGCACTTCCGGTAGATCCATCTCAGTAAGTAATGTATGTAAATTAAGGCTCCCAGCGGCATGGGGATGACAGGGACTCGCTGGAATTCTTTGACCAAGGCGTATCTTTCATAATTCCATTTTTGATTCCGTTTTGTCTGAACCCGTTGATAAGTATCACTGAATAATTTTGTAAAGAAATGACGATTAAAGAGTAAATTATATCTATCTATGAAACCCTTTTAAGTCTTGTTTCAGAAACCAATATGTATTTTCATGAAAATAATCTTCAAAGAATATTCAAAGAGAATGGAAGAGTGGTACCTGAACATAGCAATCAGAATGTTAAGCAACATGACGTTGGCAAACAAAAGGTAAACCCCCATCATGGCCATCCCAATAAGTCTTCTGTGTTTAACTGCACACCTCGGAAGTATGTCCGCCCCGTAGACAGCAGGGTCAAAGGAACAGTCTGGTTCCTTAGCTGTGAGTTACACAATAATTTATGAAATTTCACAACAGAATTTTTATGGTTTTATATTTGTTAGCAATAGGGTGCAATTAGCTTTGATCTGTTGGCATAACTTGTCTTAAAAAGAGGAAGGGTGAGTATAATTTTGTATGATATGCCAGGTAAGGCATCTTAAAAGTAAGTGGTATATTGGGTGGTTTATATTCCATATTACTATTATTTGACATGAACATTTTTCTTCTTGAAAATAGCCTTTTATAAATACCTTCCAAGTCCTCTAGGAGAAGCTCGCCGTAAAGATTCCAGTAACCCAGTCTTAGTACATTGGCGATGAGGTCCCAGTCAACTACAGACTCTGGGTATATCACCGAGTAGGCGGCTATAGCGTAAGACACCACAAACACCATCAAAATTATCACGAAGAACATCAAGTCTTTGGCCTATCCAATAAACATAAATTGAATACAAAGAGTGTGCAACACAACATCACTAAACGCAAAATGTACACCTTTAAAGAAAAAGGTAACAAACTTTTAATTATTTAACCATTAAACACTTAGGAAGATGCTTGCAGAAGATGCATTGAGAAGATATTAAAGTCACATTTACCATTGCAGCAATCATCCATAACTTGGGTCCAAGTTCCTCTATAGCAGAAAATGTTTTCAGAATTCTCATGAAAAAGGCAATAAGACTCATTGCCATAAAAACTCTGCTAAATTCTACGGCAGTGTATGATGGAACGAAACTTAGAGCCAGAGCTATCACATAGAAACAAAGAATCGTGACGTCAAAGTAATTCCATTTGTCTCTGAAGTATACCTGCACAACGGATGGACGTTCTCGGCGGTATTTGTGACCAAAAAAGATTTTGTTTTCTTCGATTCCATTAATAAGCTGTTAATAGAAAGGATAAATGATGAGACAGTAATCATGAGATTTTTTACTTATTTTACTACATTGTAAAAGATTTTTTAAAATGGTCAGGAAAGTGTATATTATTTCGTGAAATACTCCACTCACCTCTCTAATTTGATCCAGCATAAGTGTAATTACCCAGCAGTATAACAACATTGCACGCCAGTGAAAGTGGTCAGTAAATCCAGCCAGCAATGTGTAGCTGAACAGAGTCAAAAACAGCAAATACGATGCCTGATAAAATATAACCAGTAAGTTACCTCGAATTCATGGCAAGGTTGCAACATGAGGGTTAATGTAAAATGTTAAAAATATGAAACGTTATATTTTACCATTGTGTGGGAGAAACGCATAATTGGAGCTGTGTAGAATTCTACTATTCGAGTCTTGATTTTGTCACAGAGCCTACTGCAGCATGAAGCGTCTTTCTGTGTTAACCAATACAAAAAACTTGACAGCAATATCTTAAAGTTTTCAAAGTTTGTGAAATGTGATTATTTTGTATGTTAATTATTCAAGAAGATAGGCAGGGGAAAACTAACCTGATTTTCTGATTTATTAGGGAACTCGTCAATAAATTTCAGCACAAATGGAAACATCCCAAGGAAAAACACCGAAATTATCATCTGAAAATTGAAAAACATTCACCCTAAATTTCAAATAATCTAAGCTTATCTGCACATTTATGATAAATGTAGTTAATATTGTCTGCAATTTTATGCTAAGTGTAGTAAAGATTGTCTGCAATTTTTATGATAAGTGCAGAGACATTGCATGTACCCTCAGTGAATTGTTTTCTGGCGAAATTCTTCCAAACCAAATTCTGTATATGGGTATCTTGCAGGCTTCATGTGACATAAAAGGTCTATGTTTTAAGCGAAATGCTATCTCCATGCAGGAGAGATTTCGCCAGCGGGGACGTGGTTTCATCAGTAACCGCTCCGTGTCTTCAGGATTATCTTCAAAAAACTCCTGTAGGACGTCACAAGATAGCTTCACAAACTCCCTATGTACAAAGACAGGCTTATAGACATTCAAATACCCAATAACAACAGATGGGTAAGAGAATAATATCAAAGAATTGTAAACACGTCACAGTTTGAACGCTTTCATTGAAATGTTATGGAGAACAAGACTTACTTTTCGTGTTTGAAGAGCTTATCAGCCAGGATGCGATTTGTCACCTGACAACCTTTTCTCAGCTGACGCAATATCCCTGACGCAATCAGAGCGGAGGGAAGTGGTTCCTGTGAGATTTCATGGTTAAAGATAAATACAAGTATTCGTACTTGGTAACTAGTTGGAAATCAGTATTGAAAAAAATACTTTTATAGACACCAAACCTTGCAGTGTTGCCAGAAGAATATGGAGAGATCACGTAAGTTCATCATCAGAAGAGACCACACCATGAGGTAAAAATATGGATCTACTTGATGATCTGTCAAAGGTAAAGTCAAATTTTGAAAATTTCATTTCTATGTGTAATTTTTTTTTTCTTCTCCCTTTTTGAGAGACAAGATAGATAATTTGTTACCTCTGATATCCATATTGACGTCATATTCCACGAACACATCCATTGCTATCATTCGCACAACAAAGCATCGAATGTTTTCAATGGTTGGTATTGTATCCCATCCAAGCTGTAGAATAATTTTATATCGAAGTTAATTCTTCATGTAAAAAAGTAAAATGGGTATTTTTATTTTATTTAAAAGCAAATTATTAAATAATTATGTTTCTTACCTGTCTTCGAAGTTCATCAGGCAGCTAGAAAGTAAAAAAAAAAGTTCCCAAAATACATTATAATGCTATTTAACGAGTGCAAAAGAAAAGTATTCTGTATGATGAAATTACACCAAACCGTACATATTTTGATGTGTAGAGTTTGTCTTTGTTGTTCAGCTGAAATTTCTCGATGTCAACACATTCTGCGATAAGAAGACGTACAAAATCGACCTTTTCTTCCCGCATCGCTTTCAGCATCAGGTCTGTTACAAATGATTCCTACAAAAGGAGAAATCACTCGGAAGTTACTGAAAGAGTACCAAACTGAAATGATTTTTACTTGATGTCCAAGGCTCACAGATTTCACCGACCTCTAAACGCTGTGTTTTTCTGTTATCGAAGAAAACATGTTCCATTGCTTTTTCGCTGTTATCAAATCCCAAAGCTAGACTTAACTTCTGTTCATCATCTTTAAAACAAAGTTATATTTTAATATTGATAAAAATAAACCTTTTCTTATAAATCATTGCTCTTCAATTAAAGCCTTTACTTTAGGAACTTCACATTCAATAGATTTTGATATTACTGCATACTACTATCGATACATGTAAATGTGTCATTCAACGTATACATAGCAGAAATAATCCATGATCGCACCTCCGACTGGATATAACCGAGTATTTTGTAATTTACATTTTAATCATTTTTCCCATTTTGAAGTATTTTTATTAAAAATAAAATTTTGTTATTTGATCAAAGAAATTCACGTACCCGATATACTGTTCAGAAGAACGTCTAGTATTGTGTGACCCAGTCGACAGCGGTCGTCGTTAAGGTTGACGAAACTCAAGTGATGTCGAGCTGGGTGCGTAAGGATGTCCATAATTTTTAATTCATCAGTTCTATAATTATGAGAGAAAAGTTTCTTAACACAAATTTAAAGGATGATGGGATCAAATATCTCATAGGCATGTTGCCTCTACTGGAACAAAGAGCTCTTATCAAAAACTTCGTTGGTCGAATGGTCGCCCGCGTGGCGGTTAGAGCCGCTGCTCTAGAGTCGCAAGGTAATGAGCTGATCCCTATGTCGTAGTTTCAAGATCAAATCCACTACAGGATATGGAGACCGGTCCTTCGGGCGAGACCATATAAAGAGGTCCCCTGTTGCAGTAGGTTCTGGCACAAAAAAGATAACTCACTGCTCAATGGCTCTGAGTGCCCGGCATAGGTCAAAGTTGCAGCTCTCCATGGCAAGTGGTGGCAACAAATATAACAAAAACTTTTTTGAACGATTCCCTCTATTCACGCAATAAACGTAACACCATGGACCATATCTCTCATCTTTTCGCTATACATGTACTAGTATCTATTTGCAACTCATACGATGAATCCCTCCTATCGACTGAAAATTTAAAGTTTGAATTACATTACACAATGAGGATTCTTCTTGAATCTATTCAGACTTTGGCCTCTTTCATGTGAACTTATTAAATTACATTGTATGTAAAAAAAAAAATATTTCGAACAACTTTTTCTTTCAATGAAAGATATGGAGATAACGTATAAACCATAAAACAATACAAAATAGAACAGAGCAAACACGGACCTAAAAACATAGAGGTGGAATCAAGTGCAAAAACTTTTCCTTGTCATTATCGACTGTCACACCGGGACCGCGTACTCATGGCGATTGCACGGCTTCCATAAAAAATGCAAAACGCCGAGGTGAGCGCAGTAGAGTCTTTTACAACGCCGTGACAATATATGCGCGGTAGGGTGTATCTATTCTCTCTTATCACTTTGGGCATGCACAGAGTACGCGCCGTGTGATCGCAGTCTAATAAGAACGCAGTAGAAATGTAGTATGATCGCCGTAGCAGCGCGGTGAGATCTCCAATAACGCACAGGGAGCTCCGTATGAACGCCATGAAGACGTACATGATCGCAGCATGAACGCAGTGATAGTAGACTGCGCTTCCATGGAGACCTCAAGGAGACGTTGTGGAGTCCTTGGACAAATTTAAAGTTTACACATTACATTTGCCTCCCTTGGCGTTTCTACGGCGTCTGTCGGCGATCACAATGCGCTTTCACGGCGTTGTAAGAGCGTTGTCATCTAGCTCACAAAACAAGAGCAGTGGCCTCATATTTGATCAGCAATAATTCTAACGTATTTGTTGCACTAGGAGCATTAAAGTATAATTGGGAATCTGTTGTTTTTAGTGGTGTTACAGTGGAATAACTTAAAATTTGCAGCAACTTTTCAGTGTGTTTATTTTTTTTAATGAAATCAAAAAAAATATATATATAAGAACACATCTGAAACGATAAAATTGAAAAGAGAAGAATTTTAAAAGTAAAACTAAAATAATTTTATACTTAATCACTCAATTAGATCACTTTTAATTATATAATACTAGTAATAATTATTATATTTCTTGGCATGAATAGAAGGTTTTTTTTTCATCATGTAACTTAAATCTTTAAACAAACATGTTTTCACTCCTTTTGAATATATATCCATGTGGGTAGAACGCATTGTGAACGTATTGTGAACGCAGCCAGTGCAGTGAGAATGCCGTGAACGCGGGTTGTAAACTCCTAACACGCCTCGAAAACTCCGCGGAAACGCAGTCAATCGCGAAGAGATCTCCGTAGGAACGCCGTGAGAAACGCCGTAGACACGCGCCTGTCGCCGAAAAGACGCCGTGACATCTTCACATTGTAAACATTTTACAGAAATTTGTGCAATTTTTCTGCGATTCCACGGCGATTTAAAAAATTTTACAACGCCGTAGTGACTCCGTGTGGATGCAGGTTAACGGAAAAATTCTTCGTCAATTCAGTGTATAAATAATGGGCTAACAATTAGTTTGAAGAACGACAGTCAGCATTTGACTCAATGATTAATTTTATTTGCTGACAAGATCATTGTATCGACCATAGAATTTACGAAATAGTGACTTTAAACGAGACTGCTGATTTTATTGTTTCATCAACTAAGTTCATCAAAATTTTATCATACGAGTATTTAATCATTCATACATCATATATTAGCATATTTTGTATTCGAGTATTAGCATATCCATACCGCTTCAAAGTTTAAATCAATGCCCTTTAATTTAGAGACGAGTAAATTATTTTATAAACTTTACAAGAATTCTGTAAATAGCAACAATCGTATCAAGCAATGTTTGGAAAATATTTTCCCATGTTATGTTTACAGAATAGACTTGTTAAATGTTAAAAAAATGTTTGAAAAACATGAAGCAAAAATCAAGATACCAACCTTCCTTTTGTAAATGCGTTTGCCAAAGTATCGGCAAATCCCCCTGTTCCCTACAATGAAGTATCATTCCAATGCAGTGAAATCCTTGAAGTAAAAAAATTATTTGATGTAACGAAAAGTAAGATTATAAAAGATTCAGATTTTAGCAAAAATACCCTGAGAACCACGACGGGTCTACGGAGATCCAGAGAGCGCTTCACCATACTGAGAGACTGTAGAGGGTCCCCACCCACCACCAGCAGCAAAGAGGGTATCGCCTCGGGACAACCTTTATAAAAGATTCTCGTCTCAGAAAAAATATTTTTATGCACCGACTCTTATGGTACTTAAGAAAGGAGACATTAATTTAAAAAAAAGTTAATAGACATGTAATTTAGGGATTTTTGAGAGCATCAACTTACGTGATTTTTGAAGAGCGTATTTTCCTTGCCGTATGTATTCCTCGAACTCCGTTCTGAACCTAGCAGTGGATATGACGGAACTGTTGCCATTCTCATTGACAACAGCACACTTATGTGGAAGAAGAAAGTGGGAACAGAAAGGATTAAGATGGTACTCCCCACTGGCCTTAATGGCTTCCCGCGTGCTGTAGGTGGCAGGCCATCGTCCAAAACCCTGGTCAAAAAATTGCGATCCCAGTTGTACATGAATTAAACTTTTTTTCAACAATACCCTTTCAATATTTAATTATACACTCCCTGTAAACCTACATGTTTAATGACAAGATTTTCATTCATCTTGAGGTATTCCCAGGATGCTATTCCAATCACTGTTGGTCTTTCATTAACATCCTCCTTTTCTACGACTTGACCAATTACTTTAGAGATTTCTGAGGTGGCACCATCAGTCGTAAACCATACACCTGTTTGCAAAATTTAAAAATATCCTCTTTCAATTCACAAAATATATTATATCCACAAGTACCTAATAGTCGTACGTGTATACTGTTGCACTAGAAACTTTTTTAAGTGGTATCAAAGTTACCTTTCTCTTTGACGATGTTCTGGAGAGCATTTGTGAGGACTCTGGACTTGCTGGGGTTGTTAATAATTTGAGATCCCTCCCCCGTCACTGAGATCAGAAGGCGTGGCTGTTCCAGCCCCCAATGGTCGATGATCAGAGAAGCCACGGTTTTCAGATCGGAATTTGTGCTAAGACGAACATACTGAAGACAGATCAAGACAATTCCTTAAAGGTTTGTTTGGTTTCACAAATACCTTATTTAGAGAGAGGGAAAGAAAATGGCAGAAAGACACACTTAAACATTGATAAATAAAGCACACTTTTATTACGCTTCTACAGAGAAGAGCGATGTACAGAAAGTACTTTTTTTTCAATCCATCAGAAGGTCTCAAAAACGAATCTGCCCAAGCTTACATAATGTTACAGATAACAACTAGTAGTGGATTACAAATAGAAACAATAGTAACAACGGCCGTATCGACTCTCAATACTTTATTTTTCATAATATGCAAAGGGGACATCATTTCGAGAAATAGTCACGCTAACATATACTGCAGTAATATACTAGTTCCCCCAGTCCTTACCATTGCGGCACGTCTTTCTAATCCGCCCTCTGCAAACACTTCCACCTTGCCAAAGGCGTCCGTCATCGTGTGCTGGGGCCCTCTGACACAACCATCACGACAGGCCGAGCTGGGAAAGAAATTATTTAATCGTGTTCTGTTTTATTATTCAAACAATTTAAGTGAAATTGCAACTAAATACCGTGTATACTTTGTCAAAATGTACAAGTACAATGTACGTTTTCACTTTTCAGACATTCGACACTGAGTGTTAAGATCCAACATTACAATAATGCTTCTTAAAACTTTTGTGAGAAAATGTTAACGTTATTCTTCTTACGGTTAAAATAAAAGAAATATATCTTTAAACATTTTAAACATGATTCTAGAATGGAAAATTTATTTACATTTGTGTAGAAATGTCTGAATGTAATGGAACTGTGATATTCCGTTGAATCCAGTTTTCAATTTTCTGTAATCAAAAAAGAAAATAAAAGTTTTTAATTACTTATACCACTAAAGCTTCAATATCATCAGTAATAAGACTACAAAAGTCAACTTGTAGATGATTCATGGATCGCTTTAAACACATAACTTACAAGGTTATCTTTACTAAGAAGAACGTTCTGACTGAGGATATCGTTTATTTCTTCCTGATTGGCGTATTGATGGTAACCAATGATTTTAATCAACCAGTCAGGTCTCTCCATTTGTGCAGGAGTAGATTGCAAATTTATTGGTATAAGTTTCTTCCACATCATATGGGCTACTTCCACTTCTGTTCAAAAATTTCATTTTGATATGAAACGTGTATTTAGACGAAGTATTCTTAATAAATTTTAAATTAATTCATTAAATATAAATCAGGATATTTGAAGATTTAATGATAATCTAATTTTTTCGTACCTTTTCTACATTTTTTATCCTCCATAAAAGCCTCCGATAAACACAGAATAAGGGCTTGACATTTCATGATTTGCTGAAATAATGTTTTAGAGTCTGGAAAGTCAGACGAAAGGCGGACATGACACTGAGACAAGCCATTCCGAAACATCGTCAGACATCGCTCGGCATTCGTCAGATCAGAAGGGTGAAAACTGATGATAATCGTGTCATGTCCTTTTCAAATAATAAAAGTTGTCATTTAAAACTAGTACTACATGTTTGTAAGGCATTGTTTGGGAAGTTGTAAGCAAAAGTTTATTCACATAATTAAATATTTAATAATTATTTATGGTTGAGCCACTACGATCTATCCTAAGCTCTTGAATTCTTGTTTGACTACACTGTGTAATCTTTTTTTCTCGACTACTTGTTCTAACGTTTAAAACTTTTTGTATTAACAATAACTTAAAAAATAAACTGTTTTCTTTTTTACTCGTTTTCAGATACATGTACCTTGTTGGTCATCAAGGAGATGCAATAACAGAACATTCAAAACATCGTCGTCTCTTTCATATGGTATAATGCGCATGCTCCGTATCCACATTGGTACCTCTCTGTCCTTACTTTTTCTTGCGTCTATTATGTGAATTATTTTACCCCTTCGCCTTATCAATTCACATTCTGGAAATTTTTAAACACCATGAAGAATTTTTAATATTAACACTATGGATGTGAACGAAAATTTATAGTTGTAATTCTTTAATAACATACCCATTGAAGTGATTTCGTCATAGAAATAGTCATCAGATATCATTATGAGATACTGATCGGATGATATCATTTTATCAGTTATGAGACTCCAGTCCTCCTTGGACATTCTAGCGATGGATCGGGTTTTCCTTGGAAAATGACATTCTACAGTCGTGAAAGATGACGTCAGTTTTTGGACATGCTCCATCATTGGCGCGGCATCCCAACAACCGCTAACATAAACAGTCTTCTTTTTCGAATTTTCTGAAATATAGATTCCAAATCTACATATAAGATACATGTAGTCTATCATTAACTTCATTAAAATCAAGAAATCTCCAAAATCTTATTCAACTAGAACTAAAAGGATGAAAACAGGCAAGAACATAAACATTTGCAATTGAAGAGGATTGATTGATTGATTGATTGTATAAAGTTTAACGTCCCTCCCTTTCACTCAAATGGAGACGCCACCACTTGCCGGTGGAGAGCTGCAAATTTTGTCCTATACTCGGCGCTCAGGGCCATTGAGGAGAGAGGGATCTTTTTCGTGCCAGCATCTACTGCAACAGGGGAGCTCGGTTTATACGGTCTCACCCGAAGGACCGGTCTCCACGTCCCACAGTGGGATTCGAACCCGCGACGTAAGGATCAACTCCTTACTTCGCGACTCTAGATCAGACGCTCTAACCACTGCGCCACGCGGGCGACCAATTGTAAAGGAAAGTTATCAATAAAACAAATATGGTCAATATGAAGAAAGGCTTATCATTTGTTGGCAAAATGCGGGAAAAACACCTTTTAAGAAAGAGAGTGCAAGGCAAACCTTTTTTCTTTCTACGATGGATTCGAAAAATAGATGGTTCGTCCGGATCGTCAAAGAAGAAAACATTTTCCCTTTTAATTCCTTTGGAGGCCAGGTCCTTCTTTAAGTCTTGATAGCTGTCTTCCATCATGAAATACGACACCTCGTTCTTCCCATCTCCTTCCATTAGAGTACTCACATCTGACAAAAGACAATGGAACATGAATGCCATTAAACGTGAGCGAGAAAAATTAAAGATTAAATGGATATTCATATAAAAGAACAGCAACTATAATACAATTGCCAAGCATAATATGACAAGTTGTAATAAATATATAAAGTTAATGAACCAATGTTTTTTACCATTAAAGAAATGTTCCGAGCGCTGAACATAGTCAGCTGAGAGACAGAAAATGACGAGATCCTCATTGAACCCTGCCTCGACCTTCGTGTGTTCATTTTTGGAGTTCACGGTCACCGGACCCAGCTCTGAGATGGTATTCTTCAGTTTGTTCACTTTCAGATCGTCCGTGGAATGGTGACATAATAACACCGTCTCTATGGGCTTCTGGGAGTCACATACTGGAATCCAAAGATGTCAGAGTTTAAGTTCATCAAAATGTGGCTTGATTAATTAGCCTTCATATGTCGAGGGAATTTGAAGGACAGAAGAATTGAAAACAGTATAGATATGCGATGCAGTCCTCACAAAACAAATTTCAGACAACCACTATTTTTATGCTTTTTCGGCTCCGTTTGATTAGTTGATTGTATGTTGTTTAACGTCCCTCTTGAGAATTTTTCACTCATATGGAGACGCCACCAATTGCCGGTGGAGAGCAGCAAATTTTGTCCTATACTCGGTACTTAGGGCCATTGAGCAGAGAGGGATCTTTTTTCGTATCAGCAGCAACTGCGACACAGGACCCCGTTTTGTACGGTTAAATCCGAAAGACCGGTCTCCACGTCTCACATTGTATTTCGAACCCGCGTCGTAAGGATCAAATTCTTTCTTCGCGACTTTAGAGAAGTAGCTCTAACCAGTGTGCCATGCGGGCGACGGCTCCGTTTGAAGCGTACATAGTCAATACATATCATGTATTTGAAACATAAATGAGACAAGTCAGGCAATAATACAATAGTTGCGAAGAAAAACAAAAAAATTGAGATTTATACAAGATAATGAGAAATTTAAGCAAACTACAAAGATTCTTACGTAAGTGAGACAGCCAGGTCGCAACAAATTTCTCTTTTCTCTTGTCACCAGCACAAAAATATGAAAAAAGTTCACACATATTCACTTTTACATTTTCAAACCTCTCCGTGTGTGCTTGTATTGTGTTAGTTTCAAAATATGAATGTATTGTAATGAATTTTATCCGCTTAACGATTGATAAAAGATTTAAATGTATCGTAACATGATTGAAATGTAATTTTTAACACAGTGCACTTAATCTTTGACATTAAAATGATATTGCAACCATGTCAAAAGATTAAATGGAAAAAATAAACGTTATACATGTATATCTTCCAGTTTTAGTTATTCGATATTCTCATGAATTATTGTATATTTTAATCGTTAAAACCGCGATTCTATTTGATAACGTTATTATAATTAGCATTAACCAATGCCATTTAAACTCTTCACCTTTCAGGACTGTAAAATGTCCATATCGTTGTTGACAGGTACATATACATGCAAGTACTGTCATAAGACGGTGTGTGGAACATTTTTCCGGATTTATTTTCGATAAAAAAATTATTTTAAAAACCTGTAGAAATGACAACTTCTTAAACAAACTGCTACATACATCTTCAGTATGTTGCGTTGCAGACCAAGAGTCTCCAAAATATAGCACATGTATTATAAGCCCATGTCCTTCTTTTCTGCCTTGTGTGTAACAAATATTTCACCCCAAAACTATAAAATGACAAATAATTATCACCTTATAAGAAAATTATTCTCACAGAGTCTGACACATCTGTTTCATACTTGGATATTTCACTTGAAAAAGACGTTAATGGTAATCTAACAACCAAGCTCTATGATAAACGTGATGCCTTAAAGTTTTCTATTGTCAACTTCCCTTGCTTATGCAGCAATATACCTTCATCGCCTGCATACGGATTTTACATATCTCAGTTGATTAGATACGCAAGAGCATGCTCTACGTTTGAACAATTTTAACAACGGGGTAAATTATTGACAAACAAGTTGCTGAAACAAGAATTTCAGCAGGCTCAGTTAAAGTAATCATTTCGTAAGTTCTATGGTCGATACAATCGACCTTGTCAGCAAATACAATTTATCATTGAGTCAAATGGTGACTGATGTTGTTCATACTAATTGTTAGTCCATTATTTATGCACTGAATTAACGACGGCTTTTTCCGTTATTTCCCGATCATGACAAGGAGCACACGGCTGATGTGACCGGTCGGCAGGGGATGCTCATTCCTCCATGGCAACTGATCCCTACTCTGATGTTTTGGAGGTTCGTGTTTGCTCTGCTCCTACTAGTATTTTGTATTGTTTTATGGACTTTTGATCTGAATTACTTTTCGTTATCTCCATATGTTTCATAAACAATATATTAACAAAAACTGTCTGCTAAATGACTATGTGATGCATACAGTGTGTGTGTCCGTCTGAATCGCTTTCAGCTCCACCTCTAGCTAGCAGCTTGCTGTAAAAAATAAGCAAAATTTTATTTGTATAAGTAAGTCTTATCTAGGTGTAGCCTCTCCACAGTTTGACCCAGATATGAATCGTCCTCAAGTAAGAAGATGGGAATTGGGTACCTTACGACCCAAAGCAGAAAAACAAGGTCTTAGAGGAGACTATGCCCCTAAAAACACGGTACGCATGACCTACCGGTGAGTGGATACGTCCTTGCATGTGCCTGCAATCATAGTTCCTAGCAATGGGTACATTGTGATGAACTTCTGCCTTGTAGATACCTTTGGGAGAAGGAAAGGTTAAGGAGTAAACCCAACAAAAATCCGGAGCAAATGACATAAGGCTGTTGGACATGTTGGAGTAACCACACTTCTGGTAACTATGTTCTTGCCATGAAAAAAAAGGCTGTCCAGGTGGGGGCGTTAGCCTAGTAAGGGAAAATAAACTGTTACTTAAATATAACGGGCAAATCTAGACTCGTCAGCCATTTAAAGCCATAGATTTAGTTGAAGGACACCTTTAACAAATTACCTTGGTCCTCCAGATTGGGGTTGGGCGCAGAGCTAACATTCCTGCCCTGCCCTGTAAAAAGAAAAAGTTACGAAAACAGAAACAAGAATAACCTTTACGTCAGCATGTGAAAGGCCTTCCGAGTCGAATGAGACACGTATGAATGCTGATAATCAAAACTATAAGGACTTTACCAGCAAAATGAGAAAGGAGCTGAACACCACCAAAACCAAGCTCAGACTTGGGCATTGGAATGTGACGACAATGTATGAGACAGGCAAGCTAGCACAGGTAACATCTGAGATGGGACAATTTAACCTCCTTGTCCTAGCAGTGAGTGAGAGCATGCGCAGATGAAATGAATGTGAAAAGGTGAAAGCCATCACCGGAGAAACTCTCCTTTACTTTGGGAATGATGAGAACCTACATCATGAAGGAGTGGCCATCATACTCTGGAAAGTGTATAGATCAGTGTCTGCTGGAATGGAGGCCAATAAATATTTGATTGATTAGTGCAAGATTCGAGGGCCACCGGCTCAACACCTCATTAATACAATGCTATGCACCAACTAATGACGTTGGCGACGAAGACAAGGACAACTTCTGTAGTTAACTACAGGCAGAGACGGAGAAAACCACACGGCACGACTTCCTTGCCATCATTGGGGACCTCACTGCTAAGGTCGGAAAGGACGAAACCAACTAGGAAATCATGGGACTTGAACCATGCAGGAACCGAAATGGTGAAAAATGAATAAGTAACCTGATAGGAGGAACCCTCTTCGTCTTTATACATCATGATAAGTAACACTCAAGCACATTTTGACATTCAGAGACTGAGGGACAACACCATGAGAGCTGCCTTCATCAGCGATTTCAAAATCTTGTGAGACAGATCGGATAAAGGTGAGGTGACCATTGTGGACAACACATGGAAGCAAGTAGCCAAATTGCACACTAAAAGCAGCAAAAAGAAACTAGGCCCTCGCAAGAGAAACACCAACAAAGACTAGATCCAGCAGAAGACTCTGCTATAGAGATGAGAAATGAAATAAAGAAAAAAATGCTGCAGATAAAGTTCCAACGACTGCGTGAGAGGCAAAAGGAGTTATATAGAGAGGCTAACAAGAGAGTCAAGAAGCTTGCACGCCGTGACAACAGAGAAGCCATGGATCAACTTGCAGAGGAGGCGGCATACTGGGAGAGCAAAGGAGAGTTTACAAGATCACAAAACGAAACAAGTGTGGGTAAATTTAGAGGAAACACTGGAGGACCGATCAAGGACAAACACAGAACACTACTGACAACAGAAAAAGAACAAGAAGAGAGATAGGTTGAGCACTTCCGCGAAGTACTTAATCGACCATCACCTGATGAAACAGCTGTCATACCGGAAGCCATAAAGGGTCTGGACACTGACACAGACCCACCAACTAAGGATGAGGTAATGGATGCAATAAAGATCCTAAGAACGGGAAGTCACCAGGGCGTGACAATATTGATGCAGAGCTTTTTACAGCAGACCCTGTAATAGCAGAAACAATCCTCCAACCACTGTTTACAGCTGTGTGGGGGTGGAGAAAGTACCTGATGACTAGTGTGAAGAGATAATTGTCAAGATCCCAAAGAAAAGAGCCCTGGGAGATTATAACGACTGGAGGGAAATCACTCTATTGTCCGTGCCAAGTAAGATCCTGGTCAAAATAATTATCAAAAGAATATTGACGCTGTATTGAGCAAAATCGAGCGAGCAGGATTTAAGAAACATCGGGGATATACTTACCACATCTTTGCACTCCGCAACATCATAGAGCAGTGCACAGAGTGGCAGAGACAACTGTATGTAAACTTCGTGGACTTTGAAAAGGCATTTGACAGCATACACCGATATAGCCTTAGGAGCATCCTACGTCATTATGGTATTCCATCCAAATTGCTCCACCTGATCAAGAGCTTTTATAACAACTTCAGATGCCAAGTAGGACACAATGACTTCTTCTTCAGTGTTAAACCGGAATCAGACAAGGATGCGTAATGTCTGCAGTATTATTCAACTTGGTCATCCATTGGCTCATTTGGAATACAAGAGAAAACTCTCCGAGGGAGATCCGCTGGGGCCTGTTCTCAACTTTTTGAGGATCAAGACTTTGCGCCAATGTCTAACACAAACATGCATATCCAAGAGAAGACCAAGAGGTTGCAAACCTGTGGACAGCAGGTGGGACTAAGTAACTGTACGAGGAAGACGGAAACAATGACACTTAAATATCTGCTCCTGTTAAGGTCAGTGGTGAAGATCTATGCTAGATGGACAACTTTATTTACCTGGGTAGCATCATTAAACCAGAAAACGGCACAAAGGAGAACATCCACAGCAGACAACGCAAGGTAAGGCGAGAATGAATAACATCTGGAAGTCTGCACAGTGCAGCACCAAACTGAAGCTTTACCAGAGCTGTGTTATGTCAACTTTCCGGTATCGATCGGAATGTTGAAGAATAAGAGACAAATCTTAGCAAATTACGATCCTTCCACACTACATGCCTCCGCCGAATACTAAGAGAATTTTCTGGCCGAAGAAAGTTATAAGGGATGACCCGCTTAGCAAATGCAAACAAGAGGACATAGGCACCATCATTACCAAATGGCGATGGAAATGGATTGGACATGTTCTCCAAAAAGACCCCCAGTCAACAACAAGATCAGCACTGCATTGAACCTCAGAGAGCAAGATAAAGAGGGGGAGGCCTAGAGCATCATGGCGAAGGAAGTTGAAAGCGAGATGAAAGCCATGCACCAGACCTGAGGATCATTGATGAGTGTGGTCCAGGATAGACAACAGTTGAGGAAGTTTGTTGCTGCCCTACACACCACAGGGTGTAAAGGACATCGATGAAGATGATTAACATAAAATTATAAACTATACACTTATAATGAATAAATATCACTACATAACCTAGCTAATTGTTTTTCACGTACGGCAATTTGGGCTTTTCATACATTTAGCTTTGCATAACTTTATTTAAAAAAATTCATACAATGCATCCATTTAAGGGACTCCGACCCTCAGCCAGGAAGGACAACTCTTTAATTTATAATTTAATTCAAAAGGTCTTTAAATGAAGCTTGAAAATTAAATCTTTTCATGAAACAATTTTCATATTATGCCTCTCAATGTGCTTCAAGGTTCTTTGAACTTCTAATAAAGGTCTAATTAAAAGTAGAAATTTTTATCACGAAAAAGAATTTTTAGATACCAAAGTTTATTAACATGATATGAAATTAGAAGTGATTTATGGAGCTTTGCAAAGAACCTTGAAGCACATTGAGAGGCATATAAATTGTTGAATGAAAATATTTAATTTTCAAGCTAAATTTAAAGACTTTTTGAATTAAATTATAAATTAAAGAGTTGCCCTTCCTGGCTGAAGGTCGGAGTCCCTTAAGCTGGATACTTTCATTGATAGAAAATATTTGGTCGCTCTGAATCCCTTTATTGTAAAAGTGCTAATAAATATTATAAAGTTATTTCATTCTTGTAAAACAATCTCCGAGCGTTTATTATTTTTTCAAATTAGTATTGATTGGTTTCTTTCACTAAACTTTTTTTTTTATTAAATTTCCTCTGAAAAAAGAATGCATATTTTTTCCTCAAAATTTGTTAATTAAAATGAAAAGGGAAGACGAACTGACCTTTGAACCCCCCGAAAATACCCTCTCTATAGATGACGAACCATTGGTAAAATGGTTAGAAGAATCATTTGTATATTTCCGTATATGAAGACTAGAAACTTCTTTTCTTATTCCCACCCTACCCTCTTCCCTCTCCTCAATTTTTTCAGCTTTGGATAAGTAAATCAACGTCAACAATTAATTATTAGGCTATTCATTATTCGGGATAAAGTCAAGCGCGGGAGAACGCTTGGTCTGCCCCCCCCCCCCCCCCCACGGGATTTTTATTTTTTAAGTTTATATACATTCTAGAGAACAAAAGACAAAGAAAGGAAAACTTTGGAATTCCCTAAAAGACGTACCCTTTCTGAAGAAAAAACATGCCTGTCGGCCCTTAGCAACCAATTTAAAAAGGGGACAATCTCCTATGAAAAAAATCTCTGTCACTTACAAGTGAAAAAAAATAAATTCAAATGCTGATAACGAAAATGTAGGGGAGGGTTACCAGCAGCTAAATAGAAATTTAGGTAATAAAACTACAGTAAACAGTACACACAGAAAAAGACATCCCCGTGCGTTCTATGAGTCTTCTATTGTATAACAGTTGACTCTGCAATATATTTTTGTGCGTATTCAAAACTTGTCGGATTTTCCTAATTTTATTTCAAAACAAGCTAATTCAGAGAATCTGTGGCCCCGCTTCAGAAAGAAAGAAGCGCATTTGCGAATCTAGGAGGGGGATGGGGCGGACACTTTAAGAAGGACAGGGGGCCATAGGGGGATCTTAGTACAAAATTTTATCGCAAAGTTCAAAAGCTTCACACAGACTGATTTATAAATCTACAACCTTGATCTTTGATCTTTTTGACCTTAAAATAAAAATGGGTCTTCCTTAAAGGCCATACAGTCCGAGGGGTGCTATGTAGAATTTCGTTGCAAGGGCTTAGAATCTTCTCGAGATATCACACAGAAACGAGAGTGTTAAAAAAACCAAAATTAATGAATGTATGACCTTGACCTTTGGCCTTTTGAACTCAAACTAACTTGGGGTCTTCCTTAGGCCATGATCCCTAGGTCTTCCTTAGGCCTGTGATTTGTTATCACAGGCACTTGTTTCGGTAATAAATTTTTAATTTATAACTATATAATAATAACTATAATATTGGCTAAAAAATTACTACCGAAACAAGTACGTGCGTGTGGTTGTTATGAAGAATTTCATTGCAAAGGCTCAAACATCTGTTGAAAAGCATCTCGAGGTATCGCGCGGAATCGAAAGTGTTGCGGACAGGCAAAAATACAGACGGATGGACAGATAGGCTAAAATTAATATTTCTCACTTTCAGTGAAAGCGGGTGACAAAAAAAAAATTCTATGTACAAACTATCCAACGATAAATGCACTCTTTTTTGTCGGAGGTATAAATAGTTTGATTTCCGGTTAGGTGTCAGAACTGGAGTCGTTGATTACGTCAATCAAAAAAATCAATATTTAACAATGTAACGTGACGAGAGAATGCAGAATCCTTCTGTTGATAAAGAACACGTAAGTGATAGATACTTAATCAATGTCATTTCAAAATTAGGTTGAAATATTTCGTCAAATTGTTTTGAAAAATAACCGCAAATTTCCTAAAACATACAATGTGGACATGTGTCAGTATGTAGTGTTTACATGTGCATCAATGAGAATTAACCCGAATTTGTCTGCTCAGAAAAACAAGGTTTTTACTGCTCAACAATTCTACCTATTTTAATGTTCATGCTTTAGTAATTTATTTTTTATTGTGAAAATCTATACAAATACATTCACCAGAGCTGTACAAAACTAGTACGATACTGAGAATACTAACCAAAATCTAGAACATTCTATCCTATGCTGTTGAGAAATTATTGACTTGAAGATCTGTCTAGCTTAGCAAAAACTTAGTCAAAAACTCAGACAATGGCCACTATCTGCTCTGTGATGTATGTGTGGGTATATTTCATCAAGCAGTATCTGATCACTGTAGTATAGATTCTGAAATTAGTTTGTATAATTTTTTTTACAAAGATTTAACCATTCTTCATGCAAAAATGGCCTAAATGACAACATATTGTGTCACACTGTAGATGTTTTCTAAGCTGATTCAATTACAGTATCTCCAGAAGGCAGTTGCGGCTTTAAATAAACTTACAATTGTGCAGGTCTTGATCTTAAAAACATCATAACTAATTATAACTTTCTTTTCCCAGTTTTAAATCTGAACAAAAAAGCATATTTACGTACCATTATGAACTAATGGTGTCATATTGTGAGACTTCCCCCTAGAAAGTGATCCAGTAGAGGGACAATAAGCTGTTGTCTTTAATATTGCTTACTTTTCTTTTAGAAAGTAGAGTTGAAAATGGCCTCACAACATCAAATGGTAATTTATGTTTATAGTTCTTGTTTGGACTTGTAAGAGTTTATTTGTGAAAGATGTGCATGATTTTCTAATGATTAATATCAAGCACTGAATCTGAAAAATACAACACCTGAAACTAAAATAACACACTCCATTTTGTAAAAATATGAAATTATTACCTCTCTTTCATTAGTATAAAACATTGTGGTATCAATTAGAAGAGAATTTAATTGTGCAGAATAAATTGTGTAATAATCCTACTCTCACTTTTCTCAAGCTTAGCAATAAGTAACTGGATTTTAATGCTTTCTGAAAACATTTCAGTTACTTTAAATGATAGGTTGTTTCAATTACATTGCATCATTATCTTACCATATTTCATGTACTATTATTAAAACATGTTTCATTTGTGCATGCATTGAAATTCACTGAATTTAACTACTTTGACAGGATTGATTTCTTCCAATTCTATAACAATGGTAAGCATGGGTTCTGTTCATGTTGCCTTGTATTATATAAAGAAATTCATATGAAAAATGAAAGCATGCCTGGGTTACATATAAGCATATTAATATCAATGCATGGTCAGGAGTGTGTTCTCGTAATGTTCTAGGAAGAGGGAGTTTGTTAATAAATATGACACAAAGAACATGCCATCTTAATTGAATGTCTTTTTGTTAATGTTAATGTTATCTGAGCTTGATTTATTCTTGACAACAGTCTTAGTTTAATACCTTTCTTGAGAGAGAGATATGAAAAAATGATGAGAATGATTCAATTTTATAAGTATTGTGAAATATTGTCATTATTAAAATTCCATAACTGTTTGTGAAGCATAATACAGTTTAAAAAAAGATGAATGTCCTTAAAAGAAAAATAAGTATTTTAGGTCTTTAATGGTGAAGAAACTTTTCCTTTCCTGAAATGGAACAAAATTTTTAGAATTATAGAAACCAGACACAAAATTATTGCATATATTACCCAAAGAACAAGCCATTTTGATTAAAAAATGAATATACAGCGCTAGTAGAACTTCGTTTTAATAGCAATACTGGAGACATTAAAAAACTTAAAAGATTATATCAATATAGCAAATTCAAAGTAAAATATATGATAATTCCTATGCCTACCAAATTTTTAAAATATACTATGAAATACTGTACACAAAATTCATTGGATTACTAAAGTTTTCTGATAATTTGAATTTTCAAATATAAATACTCATGAAAAATATTTTAAATTTTTAGATACCCGGTATTAAAAAAGATGTCAATTTTGTTTATGTTTAACCTCTATGGACACAGAATTAGTTTGTTATTAGGGATAAAAAATTGCCTTCTCTGTATTTCTGCTGGAGCAGTGTAAATACATGTACTAAACAAGTTTTACTGTATTTTTATATAAGGAATAGCTACCCAAGTTATACTTATTAAGCCCAACTGGATTGGGTCAGTTCAGCTACTTTTGAATTTATTCGTAATTATTTAATTTTCCATCATGAAATATAAAAAATAAGACAATTTCTCCATCAAAATTGCCTACAAATTAGAGACATTTTAAAAGAAAGATCATGACAAGCAGATTGATTCATATTTATGTAAGTTATTTTGACATGGTCAACGTTATATGATGAGGACAAATTTTTTATCCAGTCAATTAATGCATTTCACCCAAATTTAAATTAATGATGATTAAAAATACTTATAAAAGAAGGTATTAGATCATTTGTTAATGATGACCAAGTTAATCCAAACAAAAAGGATCATTTTTTTAGCATAAGATATATACCTATCTTTGTATTCACATGTTTCATACAGAAGCCTACAGCTTGCTCAAGTTAAGGTGCCACATACCACTTTGCTTTTTATATATTACACTTTACACATATATATAAATGGATTCTTTTAAAATATTTTAGTAAATGAGGCATCTGACACTTTGAATATGTTCTTGGACTACAAAGAATTGGTTTTTATATGAAAATCTGTTTGTCTGCCTATATCCTTAATTTTTGCTTTGGTCATGCATGTTCCAAATTAAGAGAAATTTACTGTATATCTCGATCATGTTTATTTTCGGTCAATGAAGGTCAATCAAGGTTAATATCAGTCATAGGATCCTAATGCATGAGATGTAATTCACAACTAAATGTATGTCTTATTGAGTTCATCCTAATATCTTAATTCCAGATCTAAAACATTGCCTGTGATATACAGTCTAGTATCCTGATATCAAATTTTGTACTAGCATTAGAGAGCTTATTTAGTTATTGATTCTTTTTTCAATCAATATTTCAATTTCCAGCTGATAAAAAGCAAAATATCAAAGATAGCTTTGAGGAAATTTTATTGTGAATTATTTATGATCTAAGGTAGATTTGATTTTCAAATTTAGAGTGAAAAAAGAGCGGGATTTTATTAGATATCATACTTATTTTACATACAGTTGAGCTTCATTTTTTCAAACAATGATATCTTTAATACATGGGATATGTCAAAGAGCTTTGTCAGTCCTAACCTCTATTGCTTTTAATATATGTACAATAATTTTTAACCTCATTATCTCTCATCCTTTGATATCTGGAAGTTTAATCTTGGCCCCTTATGTTCAAAATATGTTAGTTTGACTGTATATTGCCTTAGGAGTATTATTAAGATAATCGTAAAAATGGAAATTAGAAGGTTGTGTCTATTCTTTGTTTATTGTAATAAGATTTTGTCTATACTTTGTTTTATTGTAATAAAATTTTGTCTATACTTTGTTTATTGTAATAATATTTGTCCATACTTTGTTAATTGTTTTTACAGATACAGCTGGTGGTAGGAGATTCTGGGGACATGATGAGGTCAATGCCCCCCGCCAAGGCGGCCACGCTGTCTTACACAGAGGTGGAGGCCCAGCTGAGGACAAATATAGACACAGGACTGAGTAAGACAGAGGCCACCAGGAGACAGGCATTCTATGGGACCAACGATTTCCAGATCACCACAGAGGAGCCATTATGGAGGAAGTACCTCGGTCAGGTAAATTGTTAGGAATATTTGAAGTACATGTACCTTAACCAGGCCCCAAGACCATAAATGAGAACAGACTTAGGCCATAATAAAAATATTCCTAGATTCTCTTCCCCGCCCGCCCCGATTTTATACCCCCGCCTCGATTTTTTTTATTTCCGTTTTTCTTTGTCTTAATTCTGATTGGGATCGGTATTCATCTACCATTCTACTTTCGTTTTAAATCCCGCGAAAGTCGACATGATTTTGACAGCTGAAAAGATGGAAATTGCTGAAATACATGCGTATATATTTCAAACAAGGGTCATTGGTTGAAAAAGATTGGTGATCATGTGAAGTAAGAGATAAAATTTGAACCTTTACTATGACTTTTATTTTGGTATTGTAGATAAAATTGCACCGATTGACCAGGTCAATAAAAAATCTACAAAATTGAAAAAATATAAAATAAAAGCCGCCCGCCCGCCTCGATTTTTAAGAAAATTCGGATGAGAATCTAGCAATTTATTTATTATGGCCTTAAGTCAAATATTCAAATTAATATAACTTTAAAAATACTTTTGATAAGAAAACAAAATTTTTACTGTATGTTTAAATTGGAATATTATTCAAACCTACAAATTCTTGGTAAAGGTATGTCTTATAAGTAACATGCTATTCAAAATCAAAATTTTGCCTTTAGTCTGTTCTCAGTTTATGGTCTCCGGGCCAGGTAAATTGATATGAATGGTAAATATGAAGTTTCTGTTGTGGATGGTGTGTTTTTAATTTTAATATACTGATTCTAAAATTTCTGAAGTGGTTCCGTATATTATCTGGTAATTTAAGAATTAAAAAAAAAAAAGATTAGTTTTAGATGATGTCTAGTTATTTTTGATTTTTTATTACATTGTAAATTTCAGTTCAAAGATCCAATGATTTTGTTGCTGTTGGCTTCTGCATTTGTCAGCATTTTAATGAAACAGTTTGATGATGCAGTTAGCATCACTGTGGTAAGGGAGCAGTCATTAATTCAAACATAGAATATAAACACTTCTTTTCATTTATAATGCATTGAGAGCAAGATTTCTTATAGTGATCAGATATCTTTACAGCATGTTTTTGAATCTATTGCTCAAATTATTTCAAATCTTTTTGGTTTTTACCTCTACTGGTCAGAGACCAGAAGAGCTTATGCTATAGTAAGGTGTCCGTCGTCCGTCCGTCTGTCTGTCTGTCTGTCTAGCTGTCCGTCTGTCTGTAAACAATTTTTCAAAAGGGTACTCCTCCTACAGTTTTGGTCTGATTTCAATATAACTTGGCAGACAAGTATACTAAACTAAGATACATAAAATAGTGCATAGGTTTTTGATTTCGATGAATGGTGTTGCCATGGTCACTAAAAATAGAATTTTCTGTGAAATTCCTTTAAAACGCTACTCCTTCTACAGTTTTAGTCTGATTTCAGTATAACTTGGTACACGAGTAGACTACACTAAGATACATGAAATTGTGCATCGATTTTTGATTTCGATAAACGTTGTTGTCTTGGTGACTTAAAATAGAAATTTCTGTGAAATTCCTTTAAAACGCTACTCCTCCTACAGTTTTGGTCTGATTTCAATATAACTTGGCACACAAGTATACTAAACTAAGATACATAAAATAGTGCATAGGTTTTTGATTTCGATGAATGATGTTGCCATGGTCACTAAAAATAGAATTTTCTGTGAAATTCCTTTAAAACGCTACTCCTTCTACAGTTTTAGTCTGATTTCAGTATAACTTGGTACACGAGTAGACTACACTAAGATAGATTTTCAGTATAACTTGGTACACGAGTAGACTACACTAAGATACATAAAATTGTGCATCGGTTTTTGATTTCGATAAACGTTGTTGTCTTGGTGACTTAAAATAGAAATTTCTGTGAAATTCCTTTAAAACGCTACTCCTCCTACAGTTTTGGTCTGATTTCAATATAACTTGGCACACAAGTATACTAAACTAAGATACATAAAATCATGCATCGGTTTTTGATTTTGATGAACCGTGTTGTCATGGTTACTAAAAATAGAAATTTCTGTGAAATTCCTTTAAAACGCTACTCCTCCTACAGTTCTGGTCTGATTTCAATCTAACTTGGCACACAAGTAGACTACACTAAGATACATAAAATAGTGCATCGATTTTTGATTTCGATGAACGGTGTTGCCATGGTTACTAAAAATAGAAATTTCTGTGAAATTTCTTTAAAAACGCTACTCCTCCTACAGTTTTGGTCTGATGACAATGGCTTCTTTTCTCATCTTTTGTTATAAGTACAAACCAGTAGAGCTACAGTCTCGACAGAGACTGCTGGTTTATAAAGTGTTCATGTGAACATACTTTAGGTAAAAGAGAAAGAGAGGCATCTCTTCCTTTGTAGCTCTACTGGTCAAAGACCAGAAGAGCTTATGCGATAGTAATGCGTCCGGCGTCCGTCCGTCTGTCTGTCTAGCTGTCCGTCTGTCTGTAAACCATTTTTCAAAACGCTACTCCTCCTACAATTTTAGTCTGATTTCAATATAACTTGGCACACAAGTAGACTACACTAAGATACATAAAATAGTGCATCGGTTTTTGATTTCAATGAACGGTGTTGCCATGGTTACTAAAAATAGAATTTTCTGAGAAATTCCTTTAAAACGCTACTCCTTCTACAGTTTTGGTCTGATTTCAATATAACTTATCACACAAGTAGACTACACTAAGATACATAGAATAGTGCATCGGTTTTTGATTTTGATGAACAGTGATGCCATGGTTACTAAAAATAGAATTTTCTGAGAAATTCCTTTAAAACGCTACTCCCTTCTACAGTTTTAGTCTGATTTCAATATTACTTGGCACACAAGTAGACTACACTAAGATACATAAAATAGTGCATAGGTTTTTGATTTCGATGAGCGGTGTTGCAATGGTCACTAAAAATAGAATTTTCTGAGAAATTCTTTTAAAACGCTACTCCTTCTACAGTTTTGGTCTGATTTCAATATTACTTGGCATACTAGTAGACTACACTAAGATACATAAAATAGTGCATCAGGTTTTGATTTCTATAAACGGTGTTGCCATGGTTACTAAAAATAGAATTTTCTGAGAAATTCCTTTAAAACGCTACTCCTTCTACAGTTTTAGTCTCATTTCAATATCACTTGGCACACAAGTAGACTACACTAAGATACATAATATAGTGCATCGGTTTTTGATTTCGATGAACGATGTTGCCATGGTTACTAAAAATAGAATTTTCTGTGAAATTCCTTTAAAACGCTACTCCTTCTACAGTTTTAGTCTCATTTCAATATCACTTGGCACACAAGTAAACTACACTAATTTACATATAATAGTGCATCGGTTTTTGATTTCAATGAACGGTGTTGCCATGGTTACTAAAAGTAGAATTTTCTGTGGAATTCCTTTAAAATGCTACTCCTTCTACAGTTTTGGTCTGATTTCAATATAACTTATCACACATGTAGACTACACTAAGATACATAATTCTGTCAGTTGTGCATCGGTTTTTGATCAGTACAAACCAGTAGAGCTACAGTCTCGACAGAGACTTCTGGTTGCATATAACTATGAGAATTATTCCTAGCAGACTCAAAATATACATTGCTGTTGTGAGACAGGAAATTGATAATAACCCTGGTAACTATATGGAAAGTTATGCAGAAAGTAAGTATGTTTACCTGTCTTTCCCTTTTTTTCAGGCAATCGTAATTGTGGTCACAGTTGCATTTGTGCAGGTAAGAACAAATTCTATAAATACACAGAATGATTCATTATGCCCTGCAATCAAATACTTGGGGTATACAGTTTTGCCCTGTCTGTCCATCTGTCTGCAAAAACTTTTAATCTTGCCAATTACTTGATTTTTTTGCAGGTTTAGCATTCATATTTCACAATTGTATTCCTTGTAATATCACCAAAATTATCTATTGGTGGCTAATCTTTCTTTGATTATTTAAATTCAAACTTTTTCTAGGAATACAGATCAGAGAAATCTTTGGAAGCTTTAACCAAACTTGTTCCTCCTATGTGTCATTGGTAAGTATCTGTAAACAGAATTATCCCTATAAAAATCATTGATGATTGTCTGTATTAAAATTATTAAGATCAATAAGCAAGTTGTTGAAGGGAAAATATATGATTTTTAATGAAACGACTAAAAGACTGTCAGTTTTATTTTCTATGACTGTCACTGATATTTCAGTTTAAGAGACAGAAAGCTGGAGACTTTTCTGGCCCGTGACCTGGTAGCGGGAGACATTGTTTATTTGTCTGTTGGAGACAAAGTTCCTGCAGATATCCGTTTATTTGAGGTGAGTCCCCCCAACACCCCACTGACCCCAATTGCTATTCTAAACAGCCTTCTCTTTCTGCAGTCTTATTTTTGTAACACATGTACAATAAATATGAAGTGATATTGAAATATATGAATGTTAAAGATAGCAAATTCTTAAAGTAGCAAAAATTGAGGTGAAAAAAAAGAGAAGTACAAGTTGGGCCTAGTATTTAAAGCTTGTTTGCTATATTTTGTTATATATTTTTTTAAAATACATATTTTGGTTAGATGTTTGACTCTTTCAGGCCAAAGATTTAGCTGTGGATGAATCTAGCTTTACAGGAGAACCAATGCCAAAGAGTAAAAATACTAACCCTCTCCCCGAGAAAGAGAGGTCGGGGGTATCAGGAATGACCTGTGTGGCCTTCATGGGGACACTGGTCAGAAATGGGAAGGGTAAAGGCATCGTCATAGAGACAGGGACAAACTCACAGTTTGGAGAACTTTTCAAGATGATGCAGGAGGAAGAGGTTTGTTTATAGTAATTTATATAAAATCCTCCAATAGGTAGTCTAGTTGTAAAAGCAGGTACTTGGAGTGGGAAATGAAACAACAATTTTTTATATGCATTTCATATCACCAGGTTTTAATTTCACTTGAAAACATTTGATTTAGTTACACCTGTTATTTCAATGTAAACAAGTTCTACCATAACATCATAAAGTAGATTAAATGGGAAAATAATGGAAAAGTTGACTTATAGATAAGTATTTAGATTTTTACATACACACTAAGAAAGTGTAATTTTCTTTCTCAGGCTCCCAAGACTCCCTTACAGAAGAGCATGGACACTCTGGGGAAGCAGCTCTCCTTCTACTCCTTCTGTATTATTGGTCTCATCATGCTTCTGGGGTGGATCCAAGGGAGAGGACTCCTAGACATGTTTACCATAGGAGTCAGGTAAAAGTCAGAGGGGTCCCACAAGTTCCTTCCTTCCTCTCTAGGTTATCCTTGTTAATGAACCACTTAAAGCACTTCTATATGCTTTTTTAAGTCCCATTTGTGATTTCTGATTTTTTTTTTCAGTTTGGCAGTAGCTGCCATCCCAGAGGGCCTCCCTATTGTTGTCACGGTAACTCTTGCCCTAGGGGTGATGAGAATGGCCTCTCAAAAAGCCATAGTTAAAAAATTACCCATTGTAGAAACTTTAGGTAACTATACAACGTAGATAACTATACAACATAGGGATTTCTCATATTCACCAATAAATGTGTTGTTCCTTAATTGTAAAGGTTGCAAAGAAAAATTTTTTGAAAATGGATTGATGATGTCTTTTCAACTGCCTAAGTTCATCATCTATTACATTTGACTGATACATTTAACTCTGTCTTGATTGACTTTTTCATAGTATAATCTTCCAAATTTAACAATGATTTAATAATTTGTATAAATGAGCATAAGTTTCTTACTGTGTATTCTTGATACATGTATTATAATCGACTTGGTTCTGTATAGTGTTCATGTTTTTTCAGGCTGTGCCTCAGTCATATGTTCTGACAAAACGGGGACTTTGACAAAGAATGAAATGACGGCCACAAGAATCCATGCTGCTGATGGCCTCTATGCCGAGGTACATTATACACTGTCATGTTGTTAAAAGCCAAGTTTTATAAAGATGAGACAATCACTAATGAGTAGAACTTTCAGACATCAGATTGGAACTTTTGATAATTATTTATGACCTTGAGTTTAAGTGCCCTTTGAAACTAACTGACATTTTACATAACAGAGAACTGTTTTATTTTGTGTTATAGGTGACAGGAGTGGGTTACAATGCTACAGGGACTGTCCTCTGTCAGCACGAGGAGGTGACGGACAACTCTCACCCCTCCCTCTCAAAGGTCGTGGAGGTCGGCTGCATATGTAATGATGCTACACTTTGTCAGGACGGACTGCACGGTCAGCCCACAGACGGAGCTCTGCTAGCATTGGCATGGAAGGCAAGTATAACAGATACCATAGTACTGTAAATCACTTTATCCGCGAGAACTTTATTTTAGCCCAATTATGCGAGACAGTGTGCTCACAAAAATTTAATTTTATAATATATGTATAATAGTATTCCTTAAGGTTATATAGAGCAATAACCGCAATTTGTGAAAATTTTGTCTCCCTTATCAAGAGTCAATGACTATCTCCCGAAAATAAGGTGTCGTGAAAATTAGTGATGTACAGTGTTTAAGAGAATTTCATATGTATTAATTGATAGAGGTGGGGTTTAAAGTGTACATATTTTATATATTTTTTAGATGAATTTGCACCATGTAAGAGAGATGTATACTAGAATAGAGGAATGGCCATTTAATTCTGAAACAAAGTATATGGCTGTGAAGTGTACCCCTGAATATGGAGAAGTAAGTGTCAATTCACAATTTAAAGAAGCTTGCTTGTTAACAAACTTATCCCCAAAAATTTACCTTAGAGTATGAAATATGACTTTTGTAGTCATGAAAGATGAAAATCACAATTTGTAGCGGCTGTAAAAGAAATAGTCCATAATCTATCTTGTAATGATTTGGGTAAGGCTTATGATGATTGATTTATTGAAGTTTTTTTTTTCTGTCCTGTTACAGAATAAGGAGATGGTTTACTTTGTGAAGGGAGCTCTAGAGAAAATACTGGCCAACTGCTCCCGCTATTATAACCAAGGCAGCACCTCTACACTAACAGAGAAGGCCAAGCAGGAGTTTTATCATGATGCTCGGCTGATGGGGCGAGCTGGACTCCGAGGTAGGTGCTATAACAGGGAAGGTCTGGTAAAATGTTTATAATCATATCCTTCAGTAATCTATGTTTAAAATTATATACCTATATTTGATTTTATTTGAAACTGCCTTTTCTACTGGGAAGGTTTATAAATACATATGATTGCGCCCATGAGAAAAGGGTCCTTATGACATTTTCATTAAAACAGAGAAATAACGTAATAAAGATGTGACGTTGCAGATCGACGGCGAGTGTCAACGCATATTTTTTTTTTACCACGTGTTTAAGTTTTTTACACTAACTTTTGTCATAGGTCTAAATATTGATAATAATGATAGAATTTCATTCGCATATTTGATCTGTGTCCAAATTCGTTTTAATAAAAAAATGACAGAATTTCATTCCAGATCGGTTCCTTTACTAGTACAGTTGAAGCTAGTATTTATAATAATTTATTACTATGATTTATATTCAATTTTGCCGAAAGCTTCAGACAATGCGATGACCTGGCTTGTTGAATACATTGACTAATTAATTCGGTTTTGATATATGTGGACCAGTTTCAGATTATGTACATGGATTGTACAAGACACGGAAATAAATATAACCATATGATAACATCGCAAAAGGATTTTGATCCGCTCCACCATTCATAACATGTAAACATTGAATCACTGGTACAGGCTAACTTTTGGACATTTTGTTTTTATGCGATGTACATATATTTGGTATAAAAATGAAGCTCTGTTAACTTCTTCTCAAGAAAGAAATTAAACTTTAAAGAATAATTCTTCTGAAGGTTTCACAATTCGAGAAGAATACACTGAAGAATATGATGTAGATTTTCTATGAATAAAAATAAGAGAGATAACTCGAGGTACAAGAGAGGTACCAGAGAGGGAATTTCGATGCAAGTGTACGTTTTTTTTTTTTTCCTCATTCGATCAAGTTTAATTTCTTAACAATCGTGTCGCATGGCCTTGCTACCAGATTTAATATTTAAAAAAATATTAATTAACAGCAGCTTAAACACGTTTTAATCATCATCATTTTTAAATAAAAATTCTTGTACAATCCTTTAAAAAATTGAACTAATATTCATGTTTTTTTAATTTATCTTTAATAATATATTAAATATGTCAACAAACAAAAAATAAATAAAAATATCTAAATAAATAATTAAAAAAAAGAAAATAGCAAGATTTAAATAGTTCACACTGCACTGATCTTTCAGTAATTTCAGCACATTTAAAATATTTTTTTCTTTATTTGTTAGATAGTCAGGTTTTAAAACTTATGAGAGAGGGAGAGAGAGAGAGAGAAAGTACATTGAAATCAATTTATATCCATTTTTTTTCTGAATTAATTTATTTCGGGTTTAATTTTTACATGCTATAAAATAAAACAAATACACTGCACAAAACATGAACATTATCCTTGCAAGATTATTGTTTTGGCTGCAGATATGGGGAGTTGAGGCATTTGAATTACGAAAACCTAACTCTTAGGGGTGTAAAACTTTCTTCGAAATTTCGGGTGATCATTACCGCCGCTACATTTTATCAATAAATCTATGGGCAATTACAGATCAATACAGTTACATATTAGAATCTGCCAGTAATGGCACATTATATGAGTTCTTTTCAGACCGGAAGGAGAATTACAGCATAAGTCAGAAAAAAAATGAAAGTGGAATATAAAAGTGGCTAGATTTCCAGAAAGCATTACCTCAATCAAAAGGCCTTCAAAGCAGTTTTGCCATACATGTACCAATTCTGTGAATTTTTTTTGTTTTATCCATAAAATAATGGTTTAAACTTTTTTGAAATGTTTTTTCAGTAAAATAGGTTAAAAATTAAATAAAAAGTTTTAAAAAATACTGCTTTAAGTCCTAACCCCCCCCCCCCTCCCCCCGATAGGACCCGTTATACATGTTGTAATTTATGCAAAAGCAGCTGGCTAACGAAAGATGTAATGTAGAGTTTTTGTCTACTTCTAAATGTAGCAGTAATGTAACGTTTTTTGTAGCAGTGGTGTTGTGTGTAGCGGTATTGACAATTTCGAAAATGTAGCGGTAATGACACACACCCAATGATAAGCATATTAATACTTTTTTATGGTACCAGACTGAAATTCATAAAAAGCAAATCATTTGGAATACTTTTAACATAGGTATGTATTTTTTTATATTAAATCTTGACACAGCTTACATATTAGAATTTCGTACACAAAAGAAAGTACAAAGGAGGGGGGGAGGGTAAGTGTTGAAATTTAAAAAATGACACCATAACTAAACAACAGTATACCTATGCTATATGTACCACTTTGCAAAAAATTGTCATTTCAAAATTCGGCCAATCAGAGGATATGACGTATATGTAACAGACGCATAACTGGACACGAACCACAGGTACTTGTTTTGGAAATTAATTTTTAATCCATAGTATATAATATACTTTGGTTTAAAACTAATTTCCAAAACAAGTGTCTGTGACATTAACATATAAGTCTGATTTCCAATTGAATTAATCTTTTCTATAAATTAAACAGTGCGATTTATTCAACCAACATATAAAATTGTTTCTTATCACGCGAGATTTATTTACTGAGTATTTAATTAAATTAAATGAATAGACCGACAAATCAATTTTAAGAAATTCGGATTGAAATTGTTTTATTTTTCATCATAACCAAAACGCCCGGAATTACATTATTACATTAAAGGTTACGCTTCCGTGCCACATCACTCGTTGATAGTGGTCAGTCAAATTTCTAGTTCCGGGCATGTGTTGCCCAATAATTGATCGCTGATTACATGAAAACGACATTGTTTAAAATTACTATTTGAAAAATAAGTTACAGAATAATTTACCAATATTATAGTCTAACTGAGTTGTGTATTTAGTTGTGTGTGTGTGAGGGGGGGTGGGTGGGGGAGGGGGGTGGTGGTTAAGCTCATATTAACTACTCGTACATGTATAAGTATGTCAATTACCTATTTTTAACGCCTACCCCCACCCAACTGACATCATCCTGAAATAAATACCACCGGAATTCCTGGAACTGACCCTGCCTTATTCCATGCATGTGAGTTTTATATTATTTAAACAGCATATATTACATGTATGAGTAAATGATAAAAAAAAGTTCAATATTGGGATTGAAAAAATGGTGTATTGTTTCAATTAAATAAAGATTTTATTACCAATGCAAGACAGAGTTCTTTCCAAATGTTTTTACAAACATTCTATGGAGTATTGCTTAATGTGCAATCTATCTTCAGTGTATCAAATTATTGTCCATTAGGCAATTATTGTATTTTCATAAATAATTGCATTTCAAATGTTTGTCTTCATCATATTTATTTATAGAAAAAGAAAAAAAATTCTACATTACTGGGTAGATTCTGGTTTATTGTCGTTCCTTGGGATATTTTTTTTTTCTTCACATTTTGGAAAGTGTATCAGATTTATACAATCAAACAAAAAAATTGTTGCTTTATTTAAAATGAAATTTAAAATCTAGAATAAAATGACTTTTGAACCCTGTATAATTACAAAACAATTCTTGCCCGGAAGTTGCACCTTCTGAGGCGTAAATTTTCTGTCGTCCAACATGAGAGAAGTGTAAAACAAACAACTCACATACCATGCATTGATAGATGATATTAATAACAATTAACTACTGGGGTATTTAAAAAAATTGAGAGAAAAATGTTCAATACTTTTGATGGATACTACTTATAACAACTATTTTAAAAAAATTGATTCTTTACATTAGGAACGTTACAAAAAAAAAAATGTAGTCAATGTTTGACGTAACGTTAACCTGACGTCATGATTCCACTGTTAAAAAATAGAAGTATCACTTATATAAACGAAGAAAAAAACATACTTAGAGATGGATTAGAACCATAAAAATTCATATTTGACAACTCCTAACCTTGTTCTATCAAAATTAATGAAGAACTCAAAATGTGTAAAAATTGCCATAAGGACCCTTTTCTCATGGGCGCAATCACATATCTTTGAATTCTTTTGTATCAGGTAGTTCATCATACATAAACTTTTGGCAATTTCAATTCTTTTTATAATATCAGATATTTGAAATTCCTTATAATATTCTATTATGCTTTGTGTTATTGTGCTTTATTTGAGCACATTATATGACAGCTTGCTACACTACTACATACTCTTATTATTTCTTTAGTCATAGGTTTGGCCTATGGTCCTGAGATGAACAACTTGGTGTATGTGGGGATGGTGGGAATTTGTGATCCTCCAAGAGAGGGAGTCAAGGAGGCAATCACAACCCTAATGGGAGGCGGGGTGTCAGTAAAAATGTTGACAGGTGATTCCGAGGAGACTGCCAAAGCTATAGGTAAGCTGACTGTTAAAGACAGGTGTGGTTTGATAACTGAATTGAGATTGAGTGATTTTACATATAATTTAGTTTCAAAAATTTAAACACAATAGTTAAAGTTCATGATGCTACCTACATTTATACTGCATGATTATGCTAAATTTTATGCTGTGCCTAGATTTGTGATTTGCATCATTGCAAAAACAGGTGTTTGTTTACAAATATTGATTTACTTGTCAGTAACACTATATTCTGTTTGTTATAGGTAGTCGCCTGGGATTATTTTCTACGGGAGGAAGAGCCCTGTCAGGTGAACAAATCGACCAGGCAGATGATCAACATCTCCGGCAGATTATACAAGGTGTCACAATATTCTACAGAACAACGCCAAAACACAAACTTAAAATTGTCAAGGTTTGTTGTCTTTTTGAAAAAAATCATAAAACTGGATAAATCGAACATCTGTTAAATTAATAAGAAAAAAAGAGATATAATTTTAGTTATGGTGATTTTTAGGTATAAACTATGAAATGCCATTATTAAGTTGTCCTCTGTTTCTAGGCTCTACAAAGTAACGGCCATGTGGTGGGTATGACAGGAGATGGGGTTAATGATGCAGTCGCCCTCAAAAGTGCTGACATAGGGATATCTATGGGCATTACAGGTACAGATGTCAGCAAGGAGGCTGCTGATATGATTCTGGTGGATGACAACTTTACAGTTATTCTGTAAGTATTAGTTATCTGTGTCTCAGAACAGATCTCTCTTCATACCCGCAAAGTAGCAGAAAATTAAAGAATTGCTCTGAATTGATATTGATTTCCTTCTTTGAATTTGCTGCTTTGCCAATACATACAATATATTCTGTCCTTTAATAAGGTCTGTAGGACATTACCGGTATCAATTTAACAATAGAACATTCTGTCTGTGTAGGTTTATGATATAGAATGTGATATAAAGCTATTTGATGAAGACTGTAGTTATTCTGTTCCAATACAAAAACATTGTGTCACACAAAAAGTGTATTTTTTCATTACAGATCTGCTATAGAAGAAGGAAAAGGCATATTCTACAATATTAGGAATTTTGTTAGATTTCAACTCAGCACGTAAGTCAGGAATAAGTGGAGGTTTTTTTTTCTTTACAATTGTACGAATTCAGAACAGGTTGTTAATATACATATACCTTTTTAAATAAAGCAGAATATGTCACTCTTTTTCTTTCAGGAGTATAGCTGCGTTAACATTAATAACTCTTTCTACTGTGATGAAATTACCAAATCCTTTGAATGCCATGCAAATTTTATGGATAAATATCATTATGGATGGTCCACCTGCCCAGAGGTACCTGCTAATCTCAGGATAAAAGTTACCCTTAACACCATAAATTTCTTTTTCTTTGATGAATGAAAGTATGTTTTGTTAACTGGACTGTTCAATGACCTTACATTATTATTTAACTTTTTTATAGTCTGGGTGTAGAGCCAGTGGACCATGATGTAATTAGAAAACCTCCTAGAAAGGTCAAGGACCCTATCATAACCTTTGACCTCATTATTAATATCATAATCTCAGCTGCCCTCATTGTATCGGGGACACTGTGGGTGTTCTGGAGAGAGGTAAGGAAATAACCTGTAGTTTGTACATAAATGGATGGTCATATATGTTATAGAGGATTGTTTTAATGCATTTCATTAAGTGATCTGATTTGTTTTCTTTACAGATGAGTGACAACAAAATCACTCCTCGAGACACCACCATGACCTTCACATGCTTTGTATTTTTTGACATGTTTAATGCTCTCAGCTGTCGTTCAGCAGTAAGTAGCTGTTGTTTTTTTGAAATATTTTTCTTATAACTTTAAACCAATTCCTTTCATATTAAATCAGTTTATCACATTGATGGCAAAGCTATGGTTTCGGCATTTAATGGTTGAATTCATTTATCAAAAGGGTTTTTTTCTTTTCCTAGGAAAAATCAATATTTCAAATAGGCTTTTTTAACAATAAGATGTTTTTATTGGCCGTGGGAGGCTCTCTGATTGGTCAGCTTCTGGTGATATACTTCCCTCCACTACAAGCTGTGTTTCAAACAGAGTCCGTTTACTTCTCAGGTGAGCACGGGTAGAATGAGAAAGGGTACTGATATGATCTATATTAAAGCTCTGGGTATACCAAGTACTCATACAAGTACATGTACTTGCATCCTAAGAGTATTATGGTATTTTTTTTTTCCTGTTGTATACCATTTGATCTGTGAAATTGTGTTTCAGCTAACTTTTAACAAATGAAATACCAGGTATGTCGAGTATATTCAGTGTTTTGTAGATTGATATATTTTTTATATCTGTCCTATTGATGAAATTAATTCCTTATTCAACCACGAGAAATTTTATTGTCTGTTTATTACATTTTCATTAATTTTTCTTTTGCCTCTGTCTTTTTGTAACACAGGGTGATAGACTGCTAATCATAGTTAAGTGGTTGAGAAATCATAGCTTAGCGAATATGAGATTGAAAACATGGATTTCAATAATGTCTCATCACCCAGCATGCTAAGGGGGAAGAAGAAAAAAAAAATAAAGAAAATGTAACAAATAGAAAATGCAAAGTTTTGTAGTTGGATATTGAATTTATTTCACATTCAAGTCCTTATAGTATTTAATTCATGAAATAGACTGTACCATTGAATATCCTGTATTTTCTTGAGATATGAAATATGAAACTTATCATGTTATTTTTTTTTTTTTTATTTATTTCAGACTTGATCTTTTTGACATTATTAACATCCTCCGTGTTTGTGGTGTCAGAAATACGAAAGTTTGTGAGGACTTTACGTGAAAGAAGGAAGAAAGGATTTCAGTATTACAGCAATAACAGTGTCTGAATCCCCCAAAAAGGGCACTATAACCAGACATATCTTTTTTTTAATGTGTGATTACGATAGCCATGTGATATTTAAACTTTTTTAAAGAATTATGTTGTTCACGTCAGATTTTGTATGATTTCGTTAAAATTGAGCAGGAATTGATAGTTCGGATTCTATTTTTTGATTTTATCATACTGACACGAGTCATTCAGTGCTCAATCTTGTACATTTTACAAAAGTGAAGATTAGTTGTGTCTCTAATATCTACATACAGTGTATTTACACCAAAAGAATTACTGAAGAACAAGAAAAATCCTTCAAATTAACATGAATTTAGTTTGCAATTTGACTGCCTTTAGAGATAATAGAATAATCAAATACAGTAACACATGCTTATAATGAATTGATGCTTACAGCAAATTGATTTTCATTAAATTAAATGGATAATGAATAACACTTATAATGAAGCAAAACTGTTTGTTATTGGCAATTTATTATGAGCATGTTTTACTGTACCAGTCTAAGGCTTGCAATATTTTTCTTCGAATATCATTCTGTGTTCAAACAACTTGTAATTTCTTTTGAATTTAACAATTTTTTTTATTCATGGTTTTATATGTATTTATATATACTATTAGATAGTTTAACAGTGTTTTCTGTAAGATAAGAGAAAGATTCAAAAGTGCCACTGCTGTTTTGTTTAATAGATTGAATTGTGTTACAAATTGACAATAATGTGGGTGCATGAATTGGAGTACATGTATATCTATTTTTTTTTTTTCATAAATACATGTAAATGTTATTCAATTAATTTATGTACATGTATCATTAATTTATTTTCATTATAGTGAAATATATACATGTACATACAGCATGTCAGTCTAGTATAAATGTGTACATGTAATTTCTTTTCTTACGTATGGGCCGATCGGCCATTGTTGTTCTCCCATAGATTACTTGTTTTTTTAAATCTGTTTGTAGGTCACATTTATTCAAGGCATTCTGTATAAAAGTTTGAAATATATAAATATGAAATATTAAAGAAAAATATATTTAAGATTTGAAAATTTAGAGATTTGTTCTTCATAAAATACTGGTATTCCATGTGCAGCATATAAACTCATAAGGTAAAAAAAAAAAATTCATTCACTAAAAAATACCAAAAATATAAAAAAATTGGGGAAAGAAAGGAAATTTTCACTAGGGATAAATTGAAGATAAAATTTAAAAAATGAACATGTATGTTAGTCAATGGGATCTATTGGTATGTTAGTCTTCAAAGTCTGATGGCTTGTTTCCTACCAGCTTGTATCACCACGAGCTACCATAAAGTGCTACAATCTGATATATATGCCAAAGGTGCAGAGGAACAATCCACATTTATGACATCACAAAAGTTCAGTGTTAATCCTTGATGCTATTGACCTACATTTAAAAGCCATCGATTCAGTATTCATGCAATCTCGCATATAATTTTACTAATTTTGCTTATTGCTTGCACCTATCAGAGAAAATAGCGTTATTCCTCTCACACTTATCAGGTTAAGGTTAGTGCACACTATTGGACTGATTAAATGATAAATTTGCACCAACCAGAGAGATAGTCTCAAACCCACCCAAAATATCTAGGTTATAGTTTTTACACACACTATAAGAATTAATCTTGCACCTATTAGAGAGATTACAGTTAGTATTTGTAATTATTGGAAACCCTCAGACATTGACATGGCACATTATTGCAATTTGGCACAGTACATGTAGTACTAAGATGTTGTAAATGTTAATTGTTTTCCTGCACCATCAGACTTTGGTGTGTCAATTTAAACCATTAGGGTTTGGCACAGACCAGTGGACTTTCGTTTAACCATTGGACTTTGAAGTCCCATGGCACTTAGGAGTCCTAAATATATACACTATAATGACAACTGAACATATAAACACTGTAATATGTACAGTGAAAACTGTCTAATCCGACACCTGTCCAATCTGTCACACTGAATTCCAACGTTGATTTAATTTCATTCAAATTTTACAATTTTCCTTTTTTTTTTAACATTGTTCAATCCGACACACTGTCAATTCTGACTCAGAATTTGTCTCCCTGAAAGTGTGTCGGATTAGACAGTTTTCACTGTATAAAAGGATATGAAATTATCCATGTATACGTTTGAGTATTTTAACTATTGTAATGATGTGCTTGAAATATGGTGCAGTATATTTTCAGTAATTTTTGTTTAATTTATTCTCAGGCTGTGCCTTATCAATTTTAAAATAACTTAAAACAAATTAGTTCATATGTTAAGGGAAATGGCTATATAAGAATCACTCCTTGCAGTGATGAAACATATACAAGTACATGTATGTTAGAACTGTATAAAGCAGAATCAGAATTTATTTAAGGAATAAAGATAATAAGAAGTCATATTGTATTGTGTAGTACATTAAAAGACAGTTAAATTGGAAAAGACATACAATATTGCTTTGGTTTATGAAATAAATGAAAAAAGATTACTACCTGTAGGCAGGTGTTCAATCAGTAGGTTTGGAATAATTGTGTTTTACTGTATAAGTTTTACATCAGTTTTAAAGCTTTAGTGATTCAGTGTCAGAATGCCTTATTTTTGTCTGTATTTTAAATTTAAGCATGCTCTTTTTCAAGTTCATACAAGATGGGTTGTGTGAAAAAAAGGGTGAAAAATTACATCTTATTACAATGTATTGTTATACTGATGAAAGTCAGGTTTTGAAAATTTAAAAAGCAGTCAGATTGATAGTATATGAACAGTAAAAAGGTACCTGCATGCAATTTAATTTTTTCAATATTGAAATGTTGATAAGCAATTTTTGGGAACATTCCTTATATTTATCAAGATTACATGGCACATTTGTTTCCAACTACTTTTTGAATAAAATACTGATATTTCGATCTTTATTTTGTGTTGGTTAAATTTTACTTATTTTCCAGTTATTATGATAATTAAACATCAACGTTCCACCCGTAACACACACCCCCTTTTTAGGTCACCTGAGTAAACTCAGGTGACCTATTGCTATCTGTTTTCGTCCGTCGTCGTTTGTCGTTCGTTGTGCGTCGTGCGTTAACATTTGAACATATTTAGCTTCTTCTCTGAAACCACTGAACCAATTTCCACCAAATTTGGCATATAGCATCTATGGGTGAAGGGGAACAAAAATTTTGAATTTCATGGTCCCTGCCCCCCTGGGGCCTGGGGGTGGGGCAAAAACCACTAAAATTAGTGCAATCTTTAAAAATCTTCTTCTGTACTCCTGGACATCAAGCAGTCAAACTGTTGGTATGATTGTAATCTGCATTGAGTCCTCTACCAAAATTGTGAAATTCATGGCCCCAGGGTCAGAGGTTCTAGTGCTAGGGCAGGGCTAAACAGGTTATATATTGAAAATGCATTATTTCTTTGAATTTCTTCTTTTCTGCTCCTGGGCATTAAATAAACTAACCAAGTGCATAGGTAAGTTGAAAATGACCGCTTTTTCCAAAATTGTGAATTTCTTGGCCCCAGGGTCAGGAGGTTCTAGTGCTAGGGTGGGGCTATATAGATTATATAGTGAAAATGCATGAATTCTTTGAAATTCTTCTTTTCTGTTTGTGGGCATTAAATAAACTAACCAAGTGCATAGTTATGTTGAATAAGACTGCCTCTTCTCAAATTGTGAATTTAATGGCCCCAGGGTCAGGGGTTCTAGTGGTAGGGTGGGGCTATATAGATTATATAGTGAAAATGCAAAAATTCTTTGAAATTCTTCTTCTCTGTTCATGGGCATTAAATAAACTAACCAAGTGCAAAGCTATGTTGAATTAGGCTGCCTCTTCCAAAATTGTGAATTTCATGGCCCCAGGGTGAGGGGTTCTAGTGCTAGGGCGGGGCTATATGGTAAAAAATGAATTATTTCTTTGAAAATCTTCTTCTCTGCTCCTGAGTATTAAATAAACTACCCAAATACTTAGTTATGTTGAATAAGGCTACCTCTTCCAAAATTGTGAACTTCATGGCCCCTGGGTTGGGTGTTCTGGTGTTAGGGTGGGGCTTTATTGATTATATAGTGAAAATGCATAAATTCTTTAAAACTCTTCTTTTCTGCACCTGAGTATTTAACCAATGAACTATGTACATAGTTATGAGGAGGAAGGATGCCTCTTTGAGATTTTTGAATTTCAGGGTCCCTGGGTTAGGGCTTCTTGTGTTAGGGTGGGGCTTTAATGTTTATATAGTGAAAATGTATGAATTCTTTGAAAATATTTTCTTTTGTTGTTGAGTATAATGCCAATGATCTTAGTATATATTAATGACAAAAAAACTGCTTCTACCAAAAATGGTTAATATCCTAGTCCCTGGGACAGGTACTTTGGGGGGGGGGGGGGTAACATAGTCTGAAATAATTTAATGCTTTGAAATCTGCACTTTGGTATTAATCAACAGCATGATGAAGTAAAATTTTTAAAATTTCCAAAATTTTGAAAGATGTGGCCCCAGGGTCAGTGGTTCCTGTGGGATAGGGAGCTCAACTGTGGACCCGCCCTAACACAAGAAGCCCTGACCCAGGGGCCCTGAAATTCCCTAAAAGTGGAAATGCATTTTCTCTTTGTTACTCTGATCTACCTCTGGGTATTAAGTAAGCAAAATAAGCATCCTGAGTGTATAATTATGATAAGCAATGGTACCTCTTTCAAAATTGTAAATTTCATGGCCTCTAGTTTAAAACATGAATCAAATTCAATTGTTGGAAAGTTGTCGCATTATACTCAGGTGACCTATAAGGCCCGTGGGCCTCTTGTTTTTTTTTACATAAAAAGTGGGGTCTGAATCGGTGATAAGCTATAGTAGATTCAAGAATGGAAAAACTAAGAACTGTTTAGAAATAAATTGTAAATAATGAAATTCATGAAAAGACAATAATAAGTCAATTTTTGTACCTATATAACCTGAAAGCAGAGAGTAACCCACAGTGGAGAGGGCTAATATATAGGCTAATTAATGCCAGCTGCCCAATCCATTTTATCAGATCAATTGAAGTAGATTAAAGCTTGTTGAAATGATTGACCATGCACTTTCTTCTAAAGGGAGATAATTAAGACAAGAAGCCCATTGACCACATTGCTCACGTGAGTATATAAGTATTATTTTATGGCCCTTCTGTTCTTCACAGCTGATTCTTTTTCCTATAATCTTCTGCAAAACTTTGATGATATATTATAATGAAACCAATCTACCCCAGGGGCTAAGATTTGAACAAACTTGAATCTACATTAATATTTAATTCCCTATATAGGGATCCTTAGGTAGGCTGTAGTGAATGTGTGGATTGTAGTTTTCAATTCCAGGAAATCATGAACCACGGGTTACATTTGGTATATGCTACTAACAAAGACCTGTGAGAACTGAAAGGGGGGATCAGGTGCTATGAAGGCATAAGGATCCCATGTAGACTCCAGGCCATGGAGTAATAATAAGTATCAGTAGAGATCAAACTTGAAGATAGTACATGCACTATGCTTGTACTATGCATTATGAGATACCCCATTTTTTCACAGGTTAACTTATGAATTTAATTAAGTTGCATGAATATTTCAAATATCTACCCAAATATTGCCACATAGAAAGGGGTGTATAAAGTATTGAGGCTATGCCCATTGCTTTGTAATTAATCTTCGTATCTTTTTTTCGTATCTTTGTAATATATGTTCTGAATCATTTGATATTTTTGTGGGGATGAGGGTATATTTGTGAAACAGCTTAGTTTTTTTTATTACACACGTATGACAGCAATTGGACCGATTTTTCGTGGTGACGAACAGTGTTGGGATCCACTCTTTTGTGTTTAGAAAACAGAAAACTCGCTTTGTTGGCGGGGGTTCAACAAAGAGGTCATCGTCACCGAAGTCAAATTATTTTGGTAGAAGAAACACCAGGATTAATTAATTTATTGTAAAAATGCCGAGAATAGACAATGATATTAAACTTGACTTCAAAGATGTACTTGTTAGACCTAAAAGAAGCACGTTAAAGAGCAGATCTGAGGTAAGGAAAGTGATAATTGCATCAGTTGTGTTTGTGTATATAATCGGTTATATTTCGGCAAGAACCTATCATGTACTGTAAGTTTCTTAGTTTATGAATCTGAGAAGGGCACATATTCCGCACTGTGAAATATGCATTTAAAAAAGAGGAGAGAAAATCTTATATCGATTTAGGAGATTGATGAAAGCAGACTATTTCATAAATCACAAGAATGAGCATGATAAGGAAGGAATGCGTGGTGGTGTCAGGTTTCAGACATGATATTGTATTGCCTAAATCTTAATCTAAATCGGGACATACTAAAACAAGTCCCACGGAGAAAACAAGTCCCACATGAGTCCCACCAAGGAAAATGAGTCCCACCGGTAACTATGATATATTGATGGTATTAAAAATCATTTATTTATAGGATATCACTGTATATACATAGTTTGTAGAAAAAAAAGGGAAAAAAATGTTTTAAAGGCATGTTTTGATGGGTTATAAAACCAAGGAAAGATAACTCTGCGTATCACGCGTGAAAGCTCTAAGTCCTGCAGAGAATATTGTAACATTTCAGCTGTTTTAAGAAACATTTTTAAAAAATATGTATATATTTAGATTATATTTTAGATTATGTTTGTTGGAATATATATTATAATTAACAAAATATGTTTATAGGAGTTAATTTAGATCCTGAAAATATTGATATTAGGGAGCATATTAAACCATTGTATTATTTTTAGAATTTTGTTTTTAATATATATACTTGTATTTAATATATATAAATATATTACCTCCATATATATATAAACCATTGTTTTATTTCAGACTTTTAAAAAAAAAAATTTAAGTATAAATTTCTTTTAGTATTTATTAATAATTTTTTTTAAAAGTATATATATATATACAAAAAAAAATCAAAAATTTTAAAAGGATATTTAAATCTTAGTTTCATAAATTGATGAAGTAAAAATATATAATTTATATTTATTTTCAAAAAATAATTGTATATCAGTAACTTACGAGAACAAATAATAATAATTAAAAAAGAATTATATAAAAATGATTTTTTTAATTTTGTAGAACTTTTAGCCACATAAATGTGTTTCCAGGACCTACGACGTGGACGTGGTTCTACTTAAGGCCCCCTTTTTTTTTTTTTTTTGGATAATAAATAATTTTTTTTAAAGAAACAAGCATATTGTTTATAGCATATATAACATAGCATGATTCTAAGTTCTAACCTAACACAACACCAAACAGTATTCACTGGTCTGCACCCGTCTGGCGGGGGAGGAATACTGCCTGATACTAACCCTATTCTAAGTTCTAACCTAACACAACACCAAACAGTATTCACTGGTCTGCACCCGTCTGGCGGGGGAGGAATACTGCCTGATACTAACCCTATTCTAAGTTCTAACCTAACACAACACCAAACAGTATTCACTGGTCTGCACCCGTCTGGCGGGGGAGGAATACTGCCTGATACTAACCCTATTCTAATTGAGTTTTAACCTAACACAACACCAAACAGTATTCACTGGTCAGCACCCGTCTGGCGGGGGAGGAATACTGCCTGATACTAACCCTATTCTAAGTTCTAACCTAACACAACACCAAACAGTATTCACTGGTCTGCACCCGTCTGGCGGGGGAGGAATACTGCCTGATACTAACCCTATTCTAAGTTCTAACCTAACACAACACCAAACAGTATTCACTGGTCTGCACCCGTCTGGCGGGGGAGGAATACTGCCTGATACTAACCCTATTCTAAGTTCTAACCTAACACAACACCAAACAGTATTCACTGGTCAGCACCCGTCTGGCGGGGGAGGAATACTGCCTGATACTAACCCTATTCTAAGTTCTAACCTAACATATAATATAAGAATTCTCAGAATTTTATCATTAGGATGAGGCTGCAGGAATTTTAGGTTTTTTGTTTGGAATGGAAGTTGTTTTAGCATTTCTGACTCTTTTTACTTGACCGGGTTTTTTTGCAATGCGGGCAGTGGAAGGTATGGTAAGTGTTCCATCTGTTGATGATTCTGTGTTTGAGGGTGGATGAAATTTTGGTTTTTATTGCGTTTATCAATGCAAGTTCCTCATCAGTACCAAATGTCAAGTTTTCAACTTTCAGATCAAAACCCAAAGCAGAGCGAATTTTTGAAAGGAAGTCACAATAAGTTGTAAATGTTCCGTCCCAATGTAAAAATACTGGCCCTAACATGACAGGGGGGGTATTTTTTCCCTTCCTTACCAAATTTGGGTTTGCGTAAACCATTGTAGTCACATAGCAAGCACCTAAATTAAAAGTTCTGTCTATCCCAATCACTGATCCATTTGAGGCACATTCCTTCATCTCTATCAATTGCTCATCTGAAAAACAGATAATATTTGGTGGTTTTTGATCATTGTTTGCAATTATTGATCTAATAAATTTCTCTGACTGCAATTGATTTATCAAAACTTGGAAGTCATCTGCATTGTTTTTTTGATGAGCAAATTTTGGTTTTTGACTTCTTTCATACCGATATTTCTCGTTTTGAATGACCTTTAGGTCAACAGGGTTTTCTGGGTCATTTTTATTCACATGCTTGAGAATCTGAATGGGTAGTTTGCCATGCTTAACACCTTCCCTTATAATTTTCTGCTGTTCAACAGTTGTTCGTTTGTAAGGTTGTTGTGTGTTTTTTGCATTGCCATGTGGCAAACAACCTGTCCATTCTCCCAGATATTCTACAATGGCAACATTTTTAAAATTTTGCTCTTCCCCTGGAATATTTGTGAACCATGTTATGCGTCTTTGGTAATCGGGTGACTTTGTTGATTTTGAATAATACCTCTTCATAACAAAGATATCTGAGGGATGGGGTTGGGGTTCTAGAGGAACTTGCTTTCTCTTTTCACTCTTACAGTAAACTCCTTCCTTTTTGTATAATTTTTCAAAGAAATTGCCTTTCAAAACATACTCTACTGTTTTTAGTGAATTTCCTGACCATGCCCCACAATCATCAACAAACTTTCTCTTTGGGTTTTCACTACCATCCATATTAAAATTGGTTGCCAGAATGAAGAAAACGTTTTCCTTCAGTCCATCTGGAATTTTTGATAAGTATTCTGAGTGTTCGGCAGATACCAACTCTAAAAGCTTTTCATTGGAGAGAAATTTCCCTTGCAGAGAATTCTGCTCAGGATTACTGTATGGGGCATCTAAAAGCATGTCACTATCATTCTGATCAATATCAGGCTGATCATTGGGTGAACTGTTGTTGATATCAGAAGAGTCTATTACTTCTGTCTCAATATTGGTTTCGAATGTGTCAGAAGTAGATATTTTGTTCAAATCTATCCCTGAATGAGCGCTACTATCAAGAGAGGGGAGTGAGTCAGATAATCCAGAGACAATGTATGTCTGGTTAAACTTAGACTCAGGCTTGGTTGGGGACAATTCAGGAGTGGCTTGTGAGTTTTTTTCAGATATAAGTGTTGAAGACAACATCTGTGTTGGTTCTGTCTCATTATTTGTGTCAAATGGTTGAAGGGAATTATTGAGCAAGGGAAGTGAGTCAGATAATCCAGCGGCAATGTCTGACAATGAGTAATTGTGGTCAAGCTGAGATGCATGGTTGGCTGAAGACAAATCTAGTACATTTGTTTGATATGAGTTTGAAAGTGGTGGGAAGTCAGAGTCAGAGGACAAGTCAATAACGTGGGCATTAGAGGAAAGCAACAAGGGAACAAAATGATTTGCCTCAAAATACCTCTTGTTTATTGACATGCAAGACCACAGTATGTGCATGGTGTGTTTGCTCTTCAGAGCACGGGGTTGAAATTCACAGTTTAGGATTGCTATTGAGGGATCTGTAAGCCCATTTGCTGAGGGGTAAAGAGATCTGATGGCTCGTGAGATTACAGTAGCTGCAGCATGCATAGTCCAGGCAGAAGCAAAGTGGTAATTGCGACAGCAGTCTCGAATAGCTTCATCATAAGTTGGGCACACACAAGCTAACTTATCACCCTTGTGATTGTTGATATAGAAGTCCTTATTATAAAACATTTCAATGCAAGTCCTGGCCCTAATTTCTGGCGCCAGCCTTTCATCCCCCTGAATGGCGACTGAAAGGGAATTGAACAGGCAATTCCCATTTCCGCGAACAGAAACTGGAATATAGTCAGACCTACCCAACAATTGAGTGGCTACACTGTCCCTAACCATTGTACCCTTAAAGTTTTGGGGTTTCCCTGTCTTAAGTCTTTTGGGTAACTGACGCATGAATATGGTTTCTAACTTTATGCCATTTTCTATGTTACCAGACTTGCTAGCGTTGCCCAACCTTTCTACTGATTTTTCGAAATCGAACACACCATCAGCATTTTCGCAACATTTTAAGCAAATATATGACAAGGGACTCTTTTGTAAATACTTAAAGTCAGCCCTGCTTAATCCTTCACAACTTTGGTGATACCACTTATCACACACATCACAAGCTATGTTTTTGTCCCCGTTGCAATTTTGGTGGCAACCACCACAAGGATAATCACCAGACATCTTTAAATAATATTGTACAAAAAAAAAATAAATAAATAAATAAACAAATAAATAAAAAAAGGAAAAGATAAAAAAAAAAAAAAATAGCTAGCGACTATTGAATTTTATCTACTATTCAGCTACTATTAAGTTTAGCTACTATTGAGTTCTGAGCTACTATTGAAAAAAAATATATAGATACTTTAATCAAAAAGAAAATAGGGAATACAATTGTGGGGAAAAAGCACCGTCCATGTTGTACCAATACCTGAAAATAAAAATAGAAATATTAGATTAACAAAGAACAAGGAATAGTTTAACAAAAAACAAGGGACAGTAAAAAAAAAAAAACTTTTATAAAAAATAAAAAATATTTTATTTTGTATCCAAAAATGAGTTTTTAAGATGTTTAATTTTTGAATTTCTCTTAATGTGTATAATAAATTCTGTCCAGGAAGTACCCTTCAATGAAGTCAAATCA